AACTTTAGTAAATTTGCCAATGCTTGCAAAAGCGTTATACAATTAATTTTAGCCGCGAATTACAAATACACGAGAAATCTCTCCAGGGACCACAACTGCTTAAAGGGTTTTATTTAAATGTGCATTACTCGCAAAAACTGCAGATACTATTTGCTGATATTGAACAAAGAACAAAAGTGCATTCACAAACTAGAAACCACTTAATTGATCATTTAGCGAGTGCGCTTCATAGCATCTATTATTAATTAGCTCTAATTGATCTAACTTCGTTAACGGATGATATTGTGGAAAATTACCCCTGTTCACCTGAACAGAGGATGTTATTTCAAAGTATCGTCAATAGGAAATCGACTAAAATAATAGATCTCGGTTGCCCTTATTTAATTAGGTAATTGTTGGGTTGGGATAACAGAAAAGTTAAAGCACTTAAAATTGCAATTAAAATAAAGCTAGGAATAATTTTAAAAGAATCGATCTGTATTCTTTTGGTAAAAATATCCTTCAATATGCTGCAGGAATTAATTTGCTTATAAGAAAATTCATAAGTTTCATGTGAAACTTTAATTTGATTGTTAAAATGTTTATAAACGTGCGGCGACACGGTATATGTCCTCTGTAAGGTATGTGTTCCTTAGTATCGTTCTTTCTTTTTCACTCCTGTGGTACACATTACGAACATCTCTTATGTTTAGTAAGATACTTTATAGCAATCAAAAAATAAATAATTATGCATTCTGCCAGCAATTCGAATGTCTTTGTTAAGTCAGATTAATCTCTTATGTTTATAAATACAAAATAAAATTGCATACAATGCGCCGGCGCAGCGTTTCCTTTTAATCAGAGTTTTCTGCAACTCACTGACACGACTGAGTGATCGCATCACGCCACCCGGCGTCCGTCGTAAAACATTAGTCGTTAATTTGTTTCGAACGTATATAGCGCTTGTTATGAGCACGCTAAGGGTCAAATTACAATGCTCTCATTTCGTGACACATAAGGCAGGTCATTGAGCACACACGTTGCTAAGTAGGCGGTAATTAGACGCATAACGATATTGAAATTATAGAAATGTGAGTCTTGTAAGATCTAATATACGTACAGTGTATTTTTCTAATCTGGCAAAGGACTACATCAAATTCTCAAACTCTCATCGAAGTCGTTAATTTTCTCCTGTCATATGAATCAATGTTGTTGTGCAAATGTGAAGAGAAACTTTCAACTTCTTGGGTAATACATTAATTACAAATGTCAAGTCTTACCGTGTAACATAGTTTGTTATAAAGAAAAGAAATCTGAATGTATATAGCTGTAGTTTAGTGGAGTGTGTAATTGGTAGTATGAGTTAGAAATATTAGCACAGTGTAAGCATTGTTTGCCAGGCCAAATACAGAGTTTAAAGATATACATATACCAATGACAATTGAAAACAAACGTTTTGTTTAACTAAAACTGTAGGGATATTTGAATGTTTACTTCATGTATAACATTTTTTTTTTCAACAATCAGAATAAAGGGTGTTTTCTCTACTATACGAATATGGCCTGAAATGAGCATTACCCGTTGTTGCCTTACATAAGTTAAAGTGTGAAAATGATCCTTAACACATACATTTGCGTTGTATGCTTAGTCGTAAATCATTAAGTATTATACTTGTAAGTAATAAAATAGATATCTTATCGTAGCTATAACTTAATACAAATTAAAATTGCTTGTAAAATATGCATTATCTATAATTCTGATGGTCTCTATGTAGTTTAGCTTAGTTAAAAAATTGTTACAGTACAATGTATATATTTAAGAATATTAAATATAATAGCTTACTTTTCTAATTAAATAAATCCATGCTTAGTTTGTTATTTCTTTATAGCGAATTTCAAGTTGAAATACTGTACTTGCTATATCAACTTCACATATTTAAAGATTCTAAGTTCCCTGTATTACGACCCAATCGGTTTATAAACTATTTGAAATAAAGCAGATTTATACAATACAAATCGCAGAATTTAATACGTAACAAATATTCTATTACTTAGACGGATTACAGGCGAAGCTCTTCAGTTCACTTTAATTAGCTTATCTACATAACTACGGATATAGCCAATGGCTTCACCGTCATTTATGACATAACAAATTAAATAATATAAATTAAAAATCTTAGATTTAATATAATCGATAGTCCTGGCAGAATTCAACTCACCACAGCATCAGTGGGTATATGTATATAAATAGATTTCACAAATAAAATGAGTTCGAGCAAGACACGGTAGTTCAGTTGGTAAGAGCATCAGCTCGGTGGTTTTGGGTTCGAATCAAGCACTCCTATTTTTATAAAAATTGTTTTTTTTTTATGTTTTATTTTAAAAAACGAACGCGCAATTGCCTCAGCTTAAATTGGAGTTACCTTTAAATGAAATAACATAAACGTCTTCTTTTTAAACATAATTATATTTTAAACTCGTCACATACAACGTGATATCTTGCTTCACATACGTTTGATTTCTATCGAATTTCAAATAAACATTCAAGGCGCTTCCTATCTATGAAATGTTATTAGTCCTAAAGTTATAGAGTATATTTAAAATAAAATCATAGTAAATCATTCGGTCGTTATTTTCCTCATTAGTTACTCTGATAGCGGATTAGTCATAACTAAATCGACGAGGTCCTCTAAGTCCACAAATCAAATGTTTTGAAGTAGAACGTCGTGGTTGTTTAGTGAGACACTGTAACATTTTTATGATTCATATACTGTCTTAAATTAGTGATAAGATTACTATTTTTTAAATAATTAAATATGTATTTAAGAACTCTTGTATCAACCAGTAATATGACAATATATGAATATACTTCACTGCATCCCGGCCCTTACCTTTTCCTTACTTCGCTTTACCTAGGTTGTGGCGATAATGTCTTATTTTTGGACAATATATAAGAATCATAAAGTACCACGCGCTATCGACAAATATTCTATGTAAATACAATGATGATATAATGACTCGTGTTCTCGGAATTCGAATACGGCTATCGTAAAACTCTTTGATCATTTGTGACAGCCAAATAGGCTATAGACTTCGAGTTATCGATAATTTTCTGTAGATAAACACCTGTTGTGTTTCGCGATAAGGTACGATTCTCTTAAAACTACACGTAAACGATCGGATTACAAAACTCTTGGACTCTGCTTATGTTTTTAGTATTTAAGATTTTTACTACTGTAGGAAGCAGATTATACTCTGCTTCGCTTCTTCCGAATTTCCATCTAAAAATTATACGCCACATTTGTTGCCGAATAAAAGTACATTTCTATATTTACCGCTATACAAGCTATGTACATTAGGTTTTGCTGCTTTCAAATATATTTGTTTGCTATTCTGAAAGCTGAACAAAAGGTAAAAGAAAACGTGTGCAAAGGTAGCATGTGCTTTACCATAGTTTATAGACGCGAGTAAACAACGTGTGCTCGGCAGTAGTGTTAAGCATGCGAGAGCTATAAATAACGCTTTTCTGCACACAATGCATTTGAATTTAGCACTTTATGTGCAGTAAATCATAGCATATACACCCACACGCGCTCGCGAGCTGTTTTAAATAGGCTTCAATACTAGCCTTCATAGCCTATGAAATGAACCGATGTCTTTATTATTTAATACTAACTTTTGCGACTACATTCTACAAGATATACTTACTCCGCTAGTGCAGCGACCTAAGGTGAGCACAACTCACCTCCGAAACTAGAGATCGCCATTTTCCACGATCTCGTGTGATGATCACGACATCCTTCCAGCCATATCTAGGCCGTTGGTGATTACGAGATACGCTTTGTTGACACTCCGATCATCTCTCATTCTTTCCGTGACCTGCCAAGTAGCATTATGTGGGTTGTTGCGAGTTATTGATTCTCTTTTTACAAATTTTGCAGCCATTCTTCTTTCATCAAAGAGATAATTGTGTGTGTTGTGGTACTCTCAGTGAAGTAAACTTTGCGCCATAAAAAATGAAACATCTGCCCATACGCACTTACACATCTTTTGAAAACCTATTTTTTTACGCCACCTCTACGCCGACATACAAAAACAAAGTTCGTCGGGCCGTAGTTAAAACATTTTCAAATAAATTTAACTAACATATATCGCGTTTTAAACCGTTAAAGTGTTCTATTTAAACTTTTATTATTGTATGATTTACGTGTACATAAATCGTACGATTCAACGGACATTTTATCAAAGCGGATTAAGAGTATAAACATCTTTGTTACCCTTTCATTGAGCTGCGATAACCTCCGGGTCAGACGTAATAATTAGCGTGATTCGCAGAGAAACAATGATCCGCTATTTCGTCCAGTCGAGGTCTGTTAAAAGCTTTTAGTTGGTTCGAAATGTTTACAAATACTATTAAAAGAGCGATAAGGGTATAAGAGGATCTTTTATATGCCGCTTTGCTTGGCTATAAGCAATCGCTATGGTATTGATGTCTCAACAGAAGCGTGATGCATATAATTAGCGGATTTTAGATTGTTAGACCCTATGAGTTGTAAAAAGTAACAGAGTTTGTAAGGAAAAAATAATATTTTCACCCAGCTTTTTTATTCGTGTTCAAATAAATCTACTTCCTTTAAACTCAGACAGTATCTAATATCTATTTAACCGTAATAAACGCTTTCTATATCAAAATTAACAATAAAAATAACATGTATCTATTTCTGTTCCCTGATATTTATAAAAACAAAAAAGCTTTTATATAGATTTAAATATACATATACTCTTAAAACAATTTAGAGATCATACACATAGTAAAAATCCTTGCAAGTTGATTTTATCATAAAAATTACTTACCTTGAGTACACATTTAAATAAAACACGTTTTAACGGTTTAAAACGCTGCGGTTAAAATAATTTGTTAATAAGTTTAAATAATACATATCGCGTTTTAAACTGTTTAAATTATTTTATTACAATGAATTACCTTTTACATAATACATATGTATTTATTGCCTTTCACAGTCAATACTTGAAAAATACTGCCCGGATATCGCTGCCGGTACCCTGAGCTGCTGTGACTCGGGTCAGCTCAACAACCTGGACAAGAGTGTCGGTATCGCCGTCAACATGCTGTCCAGGTGTCCTACTTGTCTGGACAATTTCCTGAAACATATCTGCAGCATGACGTGTTCGCCAGATCAGAGTCAGTTCTTGGATGTTAAGAAGGTCAATCCCTTTAATGGTAAGCACTCCGCTTATTAAACCGCTACTTTAACATTATGTTAACAATGGTGGGGTGGGCTTTGGAAGTCTTGTAATGGGATATGTCTAAATCTCCCACATGGTTAAAAAGTTAGTTTTATTTTATATAAAAAAACAGAACTTACTATTCATCTGGGCTAACAGACCACTAAGAATCATAAAAGGGAATTGATCTGACATAGGCCAAACACCTTTCTCCGTTTCTTATAATCGTGAGAATTAGGTACAGACACACTTTGTGCGTGAATAGGCAGGTTACTCGTACAATGAAGCTAATATCTTTCCACCGGTAGAAAATTATAATGGGTTAGAGATGAGCAGGTTTATTTTGAAAACTACTGCCAATTGTAAATTTAAAGTTCTCGAAATTTTTGACAAGTGGTAATCTAGAAGTATTTGAAAAAATTAATCCAATTTCTTGCTTTCAGAAACGCATCAGCAGATAACTGAGCTCGACTATCATCTTGGTGCCACCTACATGAATACTACCTACCAATCCTGCTCAAGTGTAAGTTTTGTATTCTAATACTACACTTTTTTAGAACGATTATTTGAATAAAAAGGGAGCTGGTAAGAACTTTCAAGGTACAAAATCCCAGCGAGGATTTAAAGAATGTGACATGCACAGCTTATTATATCTTATTTCTTAATGATGTTACTTGTGACGTGACACGTTGCTTGTGATAAAAAAAAGGAAAGATAAAGGATATGTGTGTTACATCCTACGAGCTTAATGCACAAGATTAAATATTTATTTATTATGTAGTTCACACTTTGGTAAAAACATACGGATACACAATGAGATTTTACTACTATAGAGTGTACCGGGCGGCCTTATCGCTATAAGCGATCACTTCCAGGCAACCCGACCACAAGTTTTGCAGATGTCGAACGTAAAGAGAAATTGACTGTTAACATCTTTTGTATCTTTTTTAGATCTTTAGAAGGTACTAATTATTTCGTTACAGGTTCAAGTTCCGTCATCTAACAAACTGGCTCTCGACTTGATGTGCGGAGACTATGCGTCGGAGTATTGTTCGCCTCAGCGCTGGTTTGACACTATGGGCGACGGCGCTTCGCCCTTCGTGCCCTTCCAAATTAACTACATCAGTGGAGATGAACCAGTGGACGGCTTCACTCCTACCAATCCACCTACGAAACCCTGCAGTGTTGGTCTTACAGAGGTATAGAGGCAAATTTCAAGGTTACATCCTAGAAATAAACTCATTTATATGACTGGCTCGTTGGTCGGCCGTGGATTTGATTCCCATTGCGCCCACCTTGTATGTAATTATTCAAATTATAATTCTTCTGAATCATGTTGGACTTCACTTGGAAATTTGGATATAAAATGGGTAAGAAACTAATCGGGCACAAATCGCCACCCACAGATAAAAATGCCGTGAACTTTAATCGCGTTTCTGTTTCCGTCTTTTGGATGTTCGTATACTCAAAGGCAAATGGTTGACAGTCCATCTAGAGTAGATGTTATATCCCTGAGGTATTTCACCTTCAATCAAATGAATATCATGCTTGTCTGTCCATCTATCATAAAAAAATATAACAACCTGCCTTATTATTTTTTCAGAATTAGATAATTATATAAATTAATATTATAGGGTCAACCCGGATGTTCATGCCTTGATTGTGCAGCGTCATGCCCCGCACCACCACCCACTCCGCCTCCTCCGAGGCCGTTCACTATAGCCGGTGCTGACGGATACGCTGTCTGTATGGCTATAGTCTTCGTTATATTTACCTCGCTCTTCCTTGGCGGTGTCTATTGCTGCAACCCGCAAGAGAATATTGTTGGTAAGTAAAAGTGATGTTATAAAGGGTTTGTAGCCCGACCCTGAACATTTACTCATATTAATTTTATGTAGATTGAATTATATGTAAAATTGACGATTTACGAAGTGTCAAATAAAATGAGTAGTATAAAAGAGGTGGACTGTTAAGGTTCTCTGCACCTCTTTTTATTCCTTCAAGATCTTTGGACTTTTGGTCTAACCGAATTTTGTAATATGTTTGTAAAGGTTCATATTCAAAATCGATCCTACAATTTTAAGAAACCCTTTAAGAATATTTCCAAAAACACTTAACTGTCTATATGGTTTAGGTTCTTAGTAGATATGTTGAGGTGAAGGATTTAATTTCTACCACGTTATTGACACGCATATTTTTAATTATGATTTATTTTTAAGAGCTTTTTAAAGGCATGCCGGTCAGTAAAAAGTTATTCAGCACTGTATCCTACAAGATAACATATAGTTATTTTGTCCCACCAAATGTTGTAGGATGCAGAGTGACAGTTGACAGAAAACTAAAGTTGTGTCAAATGTCAAGTCAAGTGGTTTTCTCAACTGCCAAGCTTTTTATGATGCATTATGATCACAAAGTAATCGAATGATATTTATTACACTGAGCTGCAAAATGTATTTATAATTATAGTTATTTAATATAACAAAAGTCATCCGTCACGTTTTCGTCACATATTTACAACGATCTAAGACGTCTATTTCAAGTCTATTACGACTGGAAATAAGATAAAATACAGACTTTGTTTTACTTTCAAACAATCGATTGCAAACATATATTTTTACCAGCCCACCTTCTTACTTTTTAACGTAACTTTAAAAATACGTAACGGATGACAGCACGGTAGTAGGGAAACTAACCAGGTGTTGGTTGGGTTTGGGACAGAGTCCTGGCGAGCTGGAGACCGCGACGGTGCGGAGACGAGCCCGCTGCACACACATAGATCTAGTACGTATTCGTATGCGGTAAGGTGTCTGTGTGCGTGAAATATACGAGGTCTAAGATGTTTCATTATTTGAAGAGTTTGTCTTAAATCTCGTTATAACTTGGACCAAAAATTTAACTCTTGTTCCACCGCGTAAATTTTCAATTAAATATTGATGTGCAATTTTTGGGTTAAGTTGTGTGTGTGATATATAAAAATATAATATGTACCTTTAGTTTTGTTTTGTCCACTTTAGTACACTGATGAATTATATTTTACTTGCATGATTACATTTAAATGGTTGCATGTGGTTTATATTACAAAGTATTTATCATTATGCCCGATTATTCTAAGTAGTTACCTTATACGTAGTGTAAATCATATTCGTATAAGTAAAGTTTTTTTTTCATTTTTTTTAGTCCGCAAAAAGAAAACCTTTTTAAAATGTTGTGCTGTAATACTAAACAATCTCTTACTTCTTTGTAATTATGTGTTTTATAAGAAGCAATCGAAATAAATGACGCATATAAATTGTTAATATTTATTTTCACTTAGGTGTAGCGTCTGAAACCAATCCGGAAATGGGTACCAACCCGGCTGCCACCGGGTGGTCGATAGATCAACCAGACGGCGCCAATGACGCGACATTCTTCGAGAAGCTTGGGGCTAAGACTGAAACCAAATTGGAAGATTTCTTCCAGTGGTGGGGTTGTATTATGGCTTCTAGACCGTGGACTGTTCTGTTTTTGGGTAAATTTGAGGATATTTAAACCTTCTTTGAGTTACTTATAAAATGTCATTAAAGAGGTTACTATTGGAACTTAAATGAGTTTGATTTAGTAAAGTGAGAGACACTATAATGTGTTCAGTATCATATATCATTAAAGCCGTATATTAAAAATTAGAATGAAAATAAAATTGAACATCTTTGTTTTACAGGATTGTGTGTAATTGTGGCTCTTGGCTACGGAATTAGATTCATGCAAGTGACCACCGACCCGGTGGAACTCTGGGCAGCTCCAAACTCACGCTCGCGTCAAGAACGAGAATACTTCGACTCGCACTTTGAGCCGTTCTACAGGACAGAGATGCTCATCATCACAGCTAAGGGTCTGCCAAAGCCGGAGTACATAGCAGCTGACGGGACGACCATAACATTTGGTTCGGTGTTCAACTCTACTTTCTTACTGGAAGTCTTGGAACTCCAGAATAGGATAATGGGTGAGTAATACTTATAATAAGTATAATCTTAGTTCTTTTACAAAAAAATAACACATGTTTTAAACATTTCTGATATACTGTATCTGGCTCAAGGGACCATTTTTGTAAAGCCGCTAAATTTTGCATCCTAGTTATTGTGTTAGACATGTTTTATAAAGAGGCAATATTCTTGATGTAGACTCCTATATATAATAACTATTTATCTGCTAGCTCTCGGGAACGAAACCCGCATAGAAGATATTTGCTTCGCGCCTCTGTCTTCGCCGTTTAGCGGACCTGTCACCGCTGAGAAGTGCGGCGTCATGTCAGTGTGGGGCTGGTGGGACAACGACCCCAGCAATATTGAGGACAATCTTGAAGATAACGAGTACCTCTCGAGGATTATCACATGTGCTAGGTAAGTAATGTTAAATGTCATTATCGGTTCTGAACAACTGTAGCTGATTTGGAATATCAAAAATTAAGTCTGAATCAAATGAATGTCACGGTTTAAGATTATTACATAAATATCAATATAAGCACATTAATTTGTATATTTACAGCAACCCCTTCACATGCCTCGCCCCATGGGGTGGTCCAGTACTTCCTGCTGTGGCCTTGGGTGGTTTCCTCGCCCCTCAAGAACAACTTACTAAGACGTCACGTTTCCATGAAGCCAATGCTCTAATTATCACGTTCTTAGTTAATAATAAGCACGATAAAGAAAAGGTACATTGTTTATGACATTTTGCATTCTTATTAACAGACTTAATTTTTTCTTGTTTATTGGGGAAAATCTGTTTTATTATTTATACAGTCTGTGTAAAATAAGAATCTCTTTTGACTTGTAACAATAGTAATACACAGATAAATATTACTTAATGCTTAAATAATTGTTACGGATAATAGTTACGGATTAACGGTTAAATAGATTTAAACAAGAAGAAGCACTATAAAATTCAATGCGGTTACATAAACGCTAATGATATAAATGGTACAAGGTTTACATACATAAATATTATTTCTGTAATAAACAATTATATTTAATAAACAAAATTTATTACGTTATGAATATTAAAAAATCAGCATGGAAACAGATGTAAAAATATATCTGTTGCCAAAAATACGGTGTTCTCTTATATACATTTGTTATTGAACTTGTTACAGTTAAAACCTGCTAAACAATGGGAAAAAGAATATATAGCGTTCATGAAGAATTACACGGAGAATGAAATGCCGTCTTACATGGATATCGCCTATACATCTGAACGGTCCATTGAAGACGAATTGGAGAGGGAATCCAGGTCCGACGTGTCGACTATCCTTGTCTCGTACTTCATCATGTTTGCGTACATCGCTATCTCTCTCGGCAGATTTACGACGTGTTCTAGATTATTGATCGACAGTAAAGTCACTTTGGGACTCGGAGGTAAGTTCAAAACCATCATTGTTTTTAACCTTCGCAAATTAATAATCCGGCTCGAAGGATCAAAGACATAAAAAGTGTAGTTTTCGCTCGACCATGAAAATATTAAAATCTGATACCTTAAAGGCACATAATCTGAATATAAGTATAAATCATTGTGTAAGTCTGTTTCATAAGCACTATAAACGTAACAGCATTTATTACAAATGTGCATTTCCTTATTCAACAGGAGTCTTGATAGTTCTTGCATCGGTTGTCTGCTCCATCGGTATATTTGGGTATTCGGGCGTCGCAGCGACACTCATTATTGTAGAGGTCATTCCGTTCTTGGTGTTGGCTGTCGGAGTCGACAATATTTTCATTTTGGTGCAAACCAATCAGAGGGAAGGACGCAGACCCAATGAGACGATCGCTGAACATATTGGAAGAACGTGAGTATTAATTTTAAAAATATTTAATGCAAGTATAAGAGAGTATAAAATGAGAAGTATAAGATAAATTGTAACCGCGTAAAGTTAACTCAGTTGTTATAAAACTAAATTAGTTTAATATACACAGAAAAAAAAAAAAAAAAAAAAAAAAAAAAAAAAAAAAAAAAAAAAAAAAAAAAAAAAAAAAAAAAAAAAAAAAAAAAAAAAAAAAAAAAAAAAAAAAAAAAATTTTTTCCCGGGGGGGGGGGGGGGGGGGGGGGGGGGGGGGGGGGGGGGGGGGGGGGTTTTCCCCCCCAAAAAAAATTTTGGGGTTTTAAACCGTTAAAGTTTTTTATTTAAATACACAGAGTTACTACTAAAAATAGGAATAACCTTCCCATGCTGTTATTTTTCATACTCTTTTTATTGTTTAACGTACTTGCTCTAAATAGAATTGTGGAAACTTGTAATTGGTTGTATTTTTTTGTTATTGTCAATTGTGTTTTTTTTTGGTATGTAATAGTAATGTTTCATGATTTAAAGCTATTAAAATACGTGATGTATTATTTAGTAATGTTCTAAGTGATAGTTCAAATTAAATTAAAAAGTGCCAATTTCAATGACCTATAACAAAGGTACATAAAGGCATATTACATATTTCATGTAATGTTATTATTTAGTAGTGTTGTAAGTGATAGTTAAAAAATTAAAAGGAAAGTAATAGATTATTCGTATAAAAAAATACATACTTTGTATTTTTTTTTACATTACTATACACGGTACTATTTTTTTTAATTTGTAACATTTGACAGACTGGGACAAGTCGGCCCGTCTATGTTCCTGACGTCAGTGTCGGAGTCTGTTTGCTTCTTCCTCGGCGCCCTAAGTGACATGCCGGCGGTTCGGGCATTCGCTCTATATGCTGGTGCCGCTCTACTCGTGGACTTCCTGCTACAGGTCACTTGCTTCGTGGCGCTGTTAGCTATAGATACACGCAGACAGAATGCCAATAGGTAAGTGACAATGTCTTAGTCAAGAAAGATTTATTCACTAGGTATACTTAACTGAACGTGACAGCAGTTAAAACCTAGACTCCAAAAAAGGGCGCAGAACGAACGAGAAGAACTGGCAACGAACTCGCCGCTACTCCTTTTATCGCCAACTTAAATTTTACAAACAAAAACAATGACCCAGACTTTCGGACAATATAAAAGAAAATGTTTTGTTGGTTATATTAATATTATGTACTGGTTCTATTGTTAGAAATTCCTGTAGTTTGCTAAAAAGAACTTTTTTATTTATATTTTATTATCGCTTTTCCTTAGATACGATATTTTCTGCTGCCTGACTGGCAGTAAAACAGAAGCGACCGAGGGTGGTGAAGGAGGATTGTACAGTCTATTCCGGGACGTATATGTCCCATTCCTGATGAAGAGAGAAGTCCGAGCTTCCGTTATGGTCATCTTTTTTGCTTGGCTCTGTTCCTCAGTGGCGGTATGTTATATTTGATACTCAGATTGAGATTTTAGTTTTATACATTTGAGATAAATTTACGTCTCGAAAATGTTAATAAGTTTATTATCCATTAGCAATGTAAACATACATTATCCACCTAACACACTTACTCCTTGTTACTTATCTATCAACATACATACTTTAACATACACTAACATCACTGCAAATATCCTCTAGGTATCAAAGGGACTCCCTATCTGTACCATGTTTACGCAAAGATAATGAAAAATTTCTGTTTTTTTTTGTTGTAGGTGGCGCCACACATAGATATAGGTCTAGACCAGGAGTTATCCATGCCGCAAGATAGCTTCCAGCTGAAATACTTCCAGTACCTCACCAAGTATCTTAACATTGGACCACCCGTCTACTTTGTGGTAATGGAGTCCGATGCGTTGGACTATTCGGATGTGCGTGCGCAGAATATGATATGCGGTACTCGATGGTGCAGACCGGACAGTGTTGCCAATCAGTTGTACTCAGGTTAGCTATATAAGCATAATTCTATAACTATAAATGTACTATGCTTTTGTTGGTTGTACGCCAGGTTATATTCGTTCAAATAAAATACAAATTTATTCATTCAACTGCAATAGAAATATCATTTTTGTGTTTCTCTATCGTCCGGCCTACTACTATTTTTGTTTAACCGGATGGTATAAAATGTAAATAGCATTTGTCTTAATATTCAAAGCACGCTAGATTATAATGTTGTGATTCGTTATATTTCAGCCTACCGCATATCAAACGTAACGTACATAGCTCAGCCGCCAAACTCGTGGCTGGACGATTTCTTCGATTGGGCTGCATCCCCCAGTACCTGCTGCAAGTACTTCCCGACCAATGAAAGCTTTTGTCCAAGCTCCTTTGGTATGTACATTTTGTTACTAAGAAAACACCTTCTTAGCCACCTTATCCACGCGTATCATCATCATCAGGTGGGACAATATGCAAACTTGGAACTACAGGTTAAAAAATACGACACGTACCGGATTTGAACCGGCATTGACAGCGTTCCGTGCTGGTGTTCTAACCACTTGAGTAAGCGTGTACGACAGTTCATTGAAACATCTACCTTTTACGCAATATAATTTCAAACTTAACACTGACGTGTTAAGGTTTAATGTCCTGTGCGTTGCAGCTGAGGAATTAAAGTTATTTCTCGTATTCTCCGTATAATAATAGCCTTGTAAAAATGGTTTATCCGTATGTAAGCCTACCTACGAAAAGCATTATTATTTTAAAAAGTATTAACTTAATAATAATTCAATTGTTATTCTCGATTCACTGAGGTTACTACCTCGTTACAATTTTATAACGGTTTTCAAAATGGCCGTATAGCTTATATGTTTATCTTGCTCTGATATATTATATGGTATATAATTTTACATAATTCTTTACACAGAAACCCCACCATGTTCCAAGTGCAACATGCAACTTGTTGGCCCCGAACAAAGGCCGGCTGGTGCCGACTTCGAGCACTACGTACCGTTCTTCTTGCAAGATAACCCTGATAGCTCGGGCTGTGTGAAGGGAGGCCACGCCGCTTATGGACAAGCACTCAACTACCACATGTACAATAAGACGAATGCTCGAGTCGGCGCTACATATTTCCAAGGTAATGTAACATAACAAGTAATGTTAAAACATGTAATGTAACATTACACATAGTATCACATCTATCAAATAATTTTTCACTCATATAGGGCTGTAAGTCATTTTACTCACGAAAACTCTTATTAATTGGAAAATAACGAAAAGCGAATCAGCTAGCGATTAGTTATAATGATATCATTTGAAAAATATCAAAACTTAAAAAAAAAATAAAATTTTGTCAACATTACCAGTTTTGATACATCTCATTTATATTATTATTCTTTCTATTATAGGTTACCACACAGTACTGAAGACGAGTCAAGATTACTATTCGGCGTTACGAGCAGCGCGCACGATAGCTGCCAATCTCACTGAAACGTTAAATAGAAACTTACAGGTTAGTAAACAATCATATTATGTAAATTATTGCACAATTAAAAATACAAGGTATTACCTATTAAGTTACATACATTACACGTTAGTGCAATGGCGGTTATATCGCCAATGACGATTTCTTTTATGCAACCTTTGCATACAGAAAAGAGAAACAAAGGAACAAATAAATAATAAAGTTACAGGATAGGAGAAAGAAAGCAATAGATTCTCAATTAAAACAATAATTAACAAACAGTGCAACCAGGAACAGGTTAAATTTAAATATAATTCCAAGAATGACAAAAATTCATAACTAGTAAAATTATAAGCCAATCAAGATAGTATTGTCAAAAAAATATTGCTTCACTTTGGTTTTGAAACTATTGAAGCTTTGAAAGCCTTATAGTAGGTGGTAGCTTATTCGATAGACAGCTTGAACAGAAAATGAGGGTGCTACTCGATCAATGGGACTAAGAAAGGAGATCATTGTTTTTGTTATAAATGTATCTCAAAAATTTCACTTTTCTATAGTGGAAATCATCACAACATTATAGTAACCTAATCAGAAATTATTATATTTCAGGAGATGGGCACTAGCAATAAGACTGTCAACGTGTTCCCCTACTCAGTATTCTACGTGTTCTACGAGCAGTACCTGACCATGTGGCCGGATACCCTCAAGTCCATGGGCATTTCTGTTCTATCGATATTCATCGTCACTTTTGTGCTCATGGGCTTCGATCTGTTCTCTGCTCTTGTAAGTTTCTATCATGTTTTTATAGTTACTAGATAGTAAATTAAGTATTGTCTGTGGTTGATACGAGAAGTACACATTTAAATAAATCGCTTTAAATTATTTAAAACGCAAAATTTGCCCGAGCTTCGGATTTAGTTAAGTAATATATTTCTCTTAATAAAATCTTGTATTAAAAAATGGTTTTGTATACTATTTTATATTGCGATGTAATCTGGACCTTCTTTTATATTATTATTTTTTTTATTTATTGTATTACCAGGTGGTAGTGGTGACAATAACAATGATAGTGGTGAACCTCGGCGGTCTCATGTACTGGTGGGGCATCAGTCTCAACGCAGTTTCACTTGTCAACTTGGTGAGTAAATTTTTTATTATTGCTTCTGTAAGACGTAATAATCAGAAAATTTAAACGTAAAATCAGGAAGACTTTAACTTAAAATCTCTAAGTTTAACCGACTTCAGTAAAGTTGGAAGATTCGTAAATACTTTTTTTTTCATATGTTTCGTTTTTTAAAGTGTTAAATTAATGCAGTCGTATCTACAAAATGGTTTATTAAGTGCCATCATGTGCAATAACATGTGAAAAAAATTAAAGTTTTCCTACTTACATATTTGTTCAATCTAGGTTATGGCTGTGGGAATAGCAGTGGAGTTCTGCTCCCACCTGGTGCACAGCTTCAGCGTCTCGCCCGGGGAGAACCGGGTGGCGCGCGCCTCAGCGGCTCTTACGCGCATGGGTTCCTCTGTCCTATCCGGCATCACCCTTACCAAGTTTGGAGGAATTATTGTCTTGGGAACCGCTAAAAGCCAGATCTTCCAGGTACGTAGTACTGGAATAGTAGCTTAATTATAGTTTTATTTCTATTACTTATGGACAAAAAATTATATTGTTTTAATAATCACTAGCTGTGACAGCGGCTTCGTCTTAAACGATATATATACTGTCGCGGCCATTTTTTACATGTATTTGAAGAGGAATTATTTTCTTTCATACCATATTTTTGGGTCTCCTTGGTCTATCTTGAACTGTTTTTACAGTGCGTGCAGCGCAGCAGAGATATCAAATCCCCAATTTTAACACTTTCCCGTTTGTTTCACATTTCCCACTGTTTCTGTGCTGCTATTGATCGCTCCGTGATGTTTCCAAAGAGCCTTCCTCGATATACACCCTTATCAACACAAAAATATTTTTTCAATTCGAACCAGTAGTTCCTGAGATTAGCGCATTCAAACAAACAAAACCCTTCAGCTTTATGATATCAGTATAGACAATAATTAGTAATACCCCACACTACTCATCATATGGTCATAAAAAAGTAATGGAAGAATATATATCTTAATAATAGATATTAATAACATGGAATTATGATTATAATATGTTGAAGAATTATAATTCATAGTGCAGTTTGTTAACTGGATTCGAAATTTCAAGTGTCAACAAGTGATTTTTTGCTGTAACTAAAATATAGTGGACGCAATACGTACAGAGATCTTAAAATATTATGTTTGTGGTATAACATTTCAGGTGTTCTACTTCCGAATGTACCTCGGTATTGTGTTGTTTGGCGCTGCCCACGGCCTCATATTTTTACCCGTTATGCTCAGTTATATCGGTAAGTGTAGCAATCAATAATTTAGTCCATATATGTAATCGGCATTCAGTCGTAAAAAAAAATATTTCTACTATACCCTTTGAGTTTTTTCTGCCAATGTATTTCTGGTTTATTCGTTTTAAAACGTTTCGCGGGATTTTTCATCTGTGGTTTATGACTCGGACGGAATTCCGATATACATATAATGTCGAGAATTCCAGACGAAGTCAAATATGTTTTAGACAATTATAAATTGAGTAGCCTACCACCCGTTGAGTACATAGCCGTACTTCGCTATCATCTTACATCACTTAAGATTATTCTTACACTAACACTCCATTGACATCATCACGGCAATAACGAAATATTTCTGTTTCGTATGTTTTTATTTGCACTTTTATTTTTATCCTATGCTTGTATATTGGACCTTTTCCTTGTAGTCGGCCATATTTTACGATTATTGTAAATGATACGTACTTTTATCTACGTTACCTCCTTGCTTAATTACCTAATCTTATTTTATAACATTGATTTTGCTTTTACTAACAATAGCATAAGTGTTCGTTATTATATGCTGCAGCCGTTGCATTTAAGCCAAATATTACGGACTAGATATAAAGCACATTAACTCGGTTCTACGTGTTGGATATATCGGGTCGAATTCAAAGTATGATGTTAATGTAATATCAACTTTCGTGCTAAGAAATAAGGGCGATTTTACGACAGTATCGTGTTTTAGTGAGTTTACTCTTCCACGTTGTAGTATTATCATTATGTTAGCTATTAACTGCAAAACTTCTGTGCATAAGTTAAGTATATGCTACAAAGCAAGTTGCTATCATATATCATAATGTAATCAGCCATTTAAAGGTTTTGGTTGCTTTGGTTTGGGTATAGCTGAAAAAATTATGTCATTACAAGTTTTAGTATTCGGTTAAGGTGTTAAACCAATTTACAAACTAAACAATACCTCTATATCTATATTGTTGTACTGCAAGTATATATTACAAGATTTCATGGCACCTCGGGCATCTATATTAATTCAGGTATATGTATTTCGGCGCAAACTATGAGTTTTTATCACCATTTCACTCTTACACTAGTTCTAAAACATTGTATTTCGAGTTTCTAACTCATTGGAAATCGTTTAGTTTTTTTAATTGCGTTCTTAATCATACAGTTACTTAAATTATTGCAAAAGAAAGTCGTATTGCAGTTATCGATGTCATTTTACAAATTAGCAGCTTCGGGTCCACGACGCTGGTGTTAGGTGATCGATGTGTCTTTTACAGGTTCACCGGTGAACAGACAGAAGCTGGCCAATCAGATGCTGCGTGGCAAGGAAGTGGGCGTGGCAGAGACCTCGCTCACACGAGTAAGAGCGCCTTACAGGCAGTATCACTTTGACGCGCTTCCTTCAGCTTAACGAGAATGGACTTTGTATGTGACCTCGCTCGGTGACTTGGGAACGCCATTATATATAAATAATGTTCATACAAATATTTTAATACATCAATATACTCTCTCTGGTTACATTTAATGGTAGGTCAGAGATAGTCTCTAAAGGGCAAAAAATACTATTTATTGGCAGCGGTATAACTTCACCAGGTAACTTAGAAAATATTCTGAAGTTAGAGTATAATTATAACATGTATTATTTATATTATGATTCTTTCGAGAAGTGAGAACTCCTAGTAAGGACATGTAGTTGATTTCACTGGCGACAATATGAATGTTTATTGTCTTTATTACAATTAATTAATCTTTTATTTCTGAGAGAACAGTAATCAAATTTTGTTATTGTTGTTTTTTTATTGATGACAAGACTTTCAATAATTTTATATAGATCTACTGCAATCTTTACCTATGTGATATACCACCGTATAGTGTTGTACATGTCATTAATCTATAGAAGTTTTCGAATATTTATAAAAGTTAATTTTACTTTCTATATCGTGTTCGTGAATATTTCGCGATGTTGTTTTTTATTGAGTAGCGTTTCTAGCAGTTTTATAGGTTTTTGAGATATTTATTCTTTTATGATTAAGGCGGTTTACCCAGGTCATCGTGCGTGGTTGATATTTTAAATATATTTTTGTAACTAGTATATTTATTCCATTTATATTTTAGGTGTCGATGTGAGAGTCTAGCCCAGTTCTTGTAAGCGCCAATGATCATTCACTGTCAATTGTCATTTCTAGTGATGCCTGTCAAGTAGTAATTAACCTAAGTTATGTAATCGTATCGATTATCGCTTTGATAGGTTTTCAAAAGTGAATCTAAATACGTATATGATAATACATTCTTTTTAAGAATGTATATCTTGATTGTCATAACAAACTAATCTCGTAAAATGTTTATTATCCGCTTCGCTGCCCATTCCTTCTTTCCTTCTGCACCTATTCAAAACTTGATATTAGTAACTTACGGCTTTATTTTTGTTCTTCAATATCAAGTAACCAATCCCAAACAACCCTTCCATTACATTTACATAAAATATCTATAAGAACTGGGCTTTAACACTTGGCTTTATGTTTTATATGTTGTGCGAATAATGTGCATCGTTCAGTCTCGTTACACTAACTTATCGATTATAATCGGAGTGGGATCGGCAACACAATCGAGCTTGACACATCGATTAATATTCTAATTGACGTTTATCTTATTTTTATATTAAAACATCAAAATCTATGTGTCGGCTTCAGTGTTGCCTCTGTTAGTTAAGCCTAACCCACTGTAGCTTTCGATTTTTGTGCATCGTTAGTCTCCTTACGATGTATCGATGCCACAACAATCGATTTCGAAACGGGACTATGGTTACCTCCTCCTTAATTTATTAAGCATTTATGTAAAGCAATTCTCAATTGTCAATCCTAAATTGAGCGTTGTATAAACTCTAACCACCGGTTGGTTGAGGGATTAACTATTTTTAATTTTTGCATGTCACCTATATGTTTAGTATAATGCTAATTGACGGTCGTCATTCCTAGTTTTCGAATTTAATTTTTTATTATTTATCGATGTTTTGTTGTACGTCACTGGCTCGCCTCTGCACCTGTACTTATACAATGTACTTAAAGGAGTACTTAGGGCGGCTGAAGTGAGAAATCGAATCGAATATTTAGCTTGAACGCTATTACATTGAGCACAAGGCTTAAATTCCATTAACAAAAGCGGCGACGCGGTCGCTCTCAGAAATGTTATTTTTATAAAATAAATAATGAAATTATTATATTTTTCTCGTGTGCTTCATGTGAAAATGAGAAATGTGTAAGTCGTTGTGAATCGATGTTTGTTAGATATTGTGTTCTGAAGAAGTTGACTCTTAGACATTCCTGATTATTGAGGATTGTGATATGAAATTTAGACGAGTCAACATCTTTGAGCTCTGCCTTAGACTGTAGTTCATCCAGCGATGTACGCTTGGCTTTTTATAGTGTATTTAGTTAGAGGTCTGATAAACGATTTATTAAATCATACCAAATATGATTGTGATTTAATTTAACATACTTTATATAGGCTAGCTGAAAATTTAAGCTCCACATATTATTTAGGCGAAAATTTTAAGAACAGACCGTATATGTAGTTTGTAATTGTAGTACATCACTGGTTGTCTCCGTAGCGCTGTTAGGTTGCACACTGTATTATTTTTTATCCCTCTTATTTTTATTTAACTAACATGGGTCGCAAAGTCAACTAACCCATGGTGTCGGTTCAAAATCGATTGACTTCAATATAGAAGATATATCCTTGCAGGTACGTCTATAGACCTGGGAGAAAGAACAAAACGTTAACTATTATTTGAAAATTTCTTTTGGGAGCATTTTTACCTGTTTGCAAATGTAGGTATTAATTTTGTGATTTTGTCTCTGAGATTACCTATGTTCCTATTGTTTCGAATAGTACTGCAAGATTTAATGCCGTCTGTGGTCGGTTGAAGTGTCAGATATACAGTATAATTGGTCACAAACTATAATTTTAGAAATCATCTATTTTGTTTGACAACTGACCTTCCGATTAAGAGCAGAATTCTTTCACGTTTCAGAGAATCTCTACTTAACTTAGTACTTAATTAGAGGGAACAGATATCCAAAGGTTATGGTTAATTGTATAAAACTGACATCATTAATATTATGTAAAGTGTGCGAAATAAATTCCGTTTTTATTATTATTTTCGTTTTATTTTTTTAAGCACCACTTTGGCATGATCGCAGATTTTTTAACATTTGGGACATTTCAAAACGTCGTTATGGAACGTCCCAAAGGTCGCCATGTTTGATATGCATGTTCTGTGCTGTTTAATTTAAGGCTGGAAAGGTCCAATGTACAATTAAAGAGTGTAATTTCTTCTAATAGGACGAAGCTCTTCTCAGTGCAAGTGAAGACAGTGTAAGGATTCATTTTGTTATTGCTTTATTTAAATTAATTATAATGTATCTATTATGGTCTACCAATTAAGATACCATGAATTCCTTAAGTAAATTATAACGATATAGCATATGTTTGATAGTATTTTAGTGCCGATGGTATGTTTGTTCGGTGTAATTGCTTTTAGATCCATCTCATTATTAGTATTTAGTAGCTTAGATGATAGGCATAATATATAAAACTCAGCGTCTGTTCAATACTCTTAAATATTTCAAAAGAATAGTTATTTAAGGCCTTATTGCTATATTAAATGAAAAGGTTGACTTATATGCTTTAAAGTTGAATTTTACGTTGTGTAGGTAGATTAAAGTTTATTTGGCTATATAGTAAAAAGGTGTATTGTGTTACAAGAAATATTGTTTGTAAACAGCTTTATGTTGTTTAGAAAACGTATAAAGTAAATTACATGTAATATAATATTTATATAAATAAAATAATTTTTAGTAAAGTATTTAGCTTAATTACAGACAATTTATTACGCCGCCAATATATTCTTATTATAATAGAATTCGCAGAAACATCCCTAATCTTATTGAAAAGGATTACACCAAGTAACATTTTATTGTTACTAACTGAATGCAAAAATAAAGTTTGAATGTAATAGACAATTCCTAGCACAGATTATAAATTTTATAGGCATAACCCGCCGACGGGGACACTGGCGAGTGGGGCCGGGGGGAGACACCTACGGCAGTCTAGACTCTACGCCAGCTGAGCCCCGCGCAACCGGCAGCGGTGCCGCTCTCACACAGGAGATGTGAGCGAGACGCAACTAATTCAAAATACCTAGTTCGATTTCGATCCTTGTCGTGTGATTGAAATTAGATTACAATAAACGAAAAGAATTTTAATAGTATAGACTACAGATAATGAGTGCTCGATTTTTTTGACCACAGATAAAATAACAGTGTTGTCAGTGATGTACATTCAATTACTTGGATAAATTTAACTTTGTACCCAGGTTTGATTTATCAATGCTTATTTTAAAAGAATAGACAAAATTGTGTGCTTATGATATTAGGTATATTACTTAGGTATTAATATAGTTCCGATTCGCTGTGCTATAAATCTTAAAAGGATCATTAAAAGATAAATCTTTTATTATTCATTGGTTTATTTAAACTAATAAATTAGGTGAATCGAGTATGTATTAAATACAAAGATATGACGTGTTAATTATTATGATTTTAAGTAGGTATACTAAAATAGCTAACACTTAAAGTGACAAAAGCACTTTGTGCTGATATTCCATATGATGTCCATAATAGGCCTATTCAATCTATAAATTACTCTAATTATATATACGTAGTTATTGATCCTTACTTAAGCTTTTACACTTGGTTACTTAATTGCGCTAAATCTTTGTGCGCTTTGATATCACTAACCTAATGTTTTTTCGTTAAAATATTTATTTAAACTATTCGAAAAAAATACTTGTGCAAAATGTATAGTTGGATCGAGGGTCTCTGTCCAACATGCATCGAAGACCTCCTTCGTAAATAACTATGTAAATAGAGATTTAATACAGAAAAAATCCGTTAATGTTACATATATGTATTATAGGTGACAGTTATATAGTGGATCCATGCTGCCTCTGTTAGCTGATAGTAATCATGTGTAAAATGTCGAAGGATCCTCGACTAGAGTGGATACATAATTATGAGTTAATTAAAATCTATAGCAAATTTAACTATAGTGAATCTTCAGTAGATTTTATACTGTCAGTAAAGTATAGAACTAATTATTTCATAAGTATGTACCTGTACCTCAAAGAGTATTGACTAATTATTTGATATAATTAGCATAGTTTGTAGCAGGACTATTGGCCATAATATTCCATAGGGTTACCCATAACATAGATTTTTTACCCAATTTTACACTTTATTTTAAGTAAGATACAGATATTTTATGAAAAAAATTAACTGTCTTAGAATACCTTATAAATACGAAAATTATCGATGTTTCCATTAAATTTAATGTCGTTGCTGTATTACAAAGTGTATTTTAGAAAATTGAAATATAAGTTATTTAAGGACATATTACGTACTGGACTTTGGTGTTGCTGTAAATAATCATATATCTAGTAATATCCGTAAGTACTTAGGAAGTTTTTAATCTGTATAATATTTGCTACTACTGTATATATGCAAAGATTATATTATCATTTTTCGTATTCGATGTGTAAGTAATAGTGTTTCTAATAAAATATGAAAATATACATTTCTGACGGGTTTCTTTACAAAATTCGGTAGGCATATAAAAGAAAATCTCTTCGTGTAATTTAGAAATAATTCAACACTTACATAATTTTATTCGCAAACAATAACCAAATATGTATTTACAAAGAATTATGGCTAATTTAAATTTTTCCTACCGGTATTGGTACATCCAAGAAATTGATTAACTCTTCAAAAGTTAGTCATAACAGTAATGTTTTCTGCGTTATGTATGAAGACGTCGTAGTATATATGTCCTCAAATTAGATTTATTAATTATTGTTTGACCTGTCGAGTTAGGTTTCAGCTGCAACACACTCGTTTTTAAATTTAATTATAATCAAAAAGTAATTCGGTGGTGAGATGTTTCGTCCCTAGCAATGTGAAGGCAAAGAGGTACCGTAAGTAAAGACTAATAACCAGATTTACAGTTTTTTCTGATAACAATATTATTACTATTGATTATACCTGATGTTACCTAATAGAAAAGACGAAAATATATATATAAGAATGTTTTGAGTATGTCTAATTAAAAATAAATAACAACGAGCGTCATATATCAGTCGCTATAAACATTAACAATCCATATTGAAACATTGTGACAACACAAAAGTACTACAAACAGGACGGAGAATTCAGTAAAGAAGACATAAAAAGCAACTAGAAACTAAACTAGCGTACTTTATTTATAAACGCTAATTGTACTTTAATTGACCATAAGATAGCAAATAAAACTTTGAATCATGGCAACATTTTACGATTTGAGTAATGTTTTAATTGTAGACTTTGATTTCATGTTTTATCTGTTGAGTATGGTCTGTAAAAGTTTCAAACACACATACGAAAACTTATAAAACAATAACATTTAAACAATGCTACAGAATGCGATCGTTTGCGAATATAAATCAGAACGCATCTTGTTATGTTCTATTTTGAGGCAGCCGCGAAGCTGCGATACTTTATTTTTAACCTTTTTCAATTACGTAATTTTATTTATGGACTTGTTAAATATCTCGGCGGCATGTAAAATTTGCGAAACCACAGATAACACTGGCAAGCGACAGATTCTGTAACGTCATTTAAATATTGAATTGGCGCTAAAATTAATGTCATTTTCTTTGTTGCGTATTTTAACTGCCTTATTAAGAATCATTAATTATAAGGATTATTTTGTATATTTGTTTAAAATCTCGTGTATATTCTACGGGCTTATTGGTTGGTAAAGTAGTAAATTAAATCTTTTGCATTCACACATCTTAATTAAAACTTATTGATTAATAGTTAATCCTATTATAGTTCTAAGGGTCCAAATAGTAGACGAGCGCTACAGTCTTCGTTCTGGTCTGCCAGGAACTGGGAAAAGAGTTCTTGGTATCTTGATAGCGAGATGCCGCCTTTTCTTCTGTCATCGTCCTATAACGATTAGGCATGTGAAAAAAGTTAAATTCATAAATGGTTAACAAGAAGGTTCAAAGATTTGTTTATTGTAATTTTTTAAGATCTTGTAAATCAGATGAAAGCGATTATTCTATAGTAGAAATAATAAAATAAACGGATAACACTGACATCGTCATTGGTATAAATATTCGGAGATTTGCCAAGTTCTCATCGTAATTCCTAGAAGCGCGTAATTTTACGTAAACCACTCTTAAACTACGTAGCTGTATCGTTACACAAAGTGTTAAGAAAGGGTCCAGGCTAACTGCCGTCATAGTAGCGTAAATTAAAAAAAAATAGCTAATAACGGCGACTTTATTTACCTATACATTTATGCTGTTTAGCCCTAGGACCCTGTCTTTTAAGCAATAATTCTGTTTTAGTCCATTTACGTGAATGACAATTCAACAGCCAGCGTTAGAATGTCGTACCTAGTTTATAAAATATCGTATCTTTTCGATTAATACTAATTTACCCGTACTTACGTTTAACAAAGAATTAAAAGCTTCATCAATGACTTTGATGTCGTCCACAACCATACGCTGGATACAGTCATATCTGAACTCTTCGACGCCCATAATTCCGTCGTCATTAATATCGATCATTCTAAAATTGGACTCAATAAAGGCACGCATCGCTTGTGGAAAGTCTTCATACTTTTTACCAACACAAGTGGTTTTGACTGCTTGCTTGAACTCGTCAACGGATACGGTACCATCCTAGAAAGTAGGTAAACTTGAAAAAGTAGTAGCAAGATGGGGAAGCGAACAGCGTGCGTTGCGGATAGCGTGCATTGTGCGAATAAAACCGTGCATGCGTGCATTTGGAACATTGCATCTCATAAAAACAGTAAATATACAATCATACATTCAATGCATTGTGCTGTACGATCAGTAGTACTCGTACTATCATAAGGTTATGCGCCTCACTGAATATTGACAACACAAAATACTAAAATACATATAATTACGATGGAATTATCGTATTATGTCCCTAAGCTTCGAAAACATCTTCCATGTATTTTCACGTAGGTGGCTGTAAATTACCACAAACTTATATGAATATGTGTATTTATATAGAATTTGATAATTACTTTTAGTACTTAATTCCAAATAACAAATTTATAGTGCCCATATTATTGGGGTTTGTTCTACAAAAAAGGATTTGTCCAAACTGATATATGAATAAAGAATTAATTTATTCAGGCATTTGAAAACTAGAAATCTAATTAGGCACACGACTAAATAGTTACGTTTCATGCTCATTTAATTTACGTGTATGGATGTAAGAGTAATTTATTAATTTGGGACATACAAGTAAATCTTCCGTATTTTATACGAGAGAACTAATTTATGAAGACAAGGCTTATAAATGTTTTAGAGTATTTTTTTAAACTGTATTTTGACTTAATTTGCGAATACATTGTTTTATTAGCAGGCGAAAGATCAACGACAATTCTAGTAAGTGAAGTTTCTATTTTACATGGTTCTCAAATTTTATTTTTATGTAAATATACATAATTGAATGCTTGTTTAACTGTAAAAACGTATGATTGGTGTTTGTCAGGAAACGAAAACCTTTAAAGGTCGATAATTAATAATAAATATTGGAATCTTCTGCAAATGGATCTCCTTTTCTCCTTATAAAGCATTTTACACCTTACAACACGACAAAAGCCGCCTACGACTACAAAGCTACGACATCGAGTGTATAGTAATGTGGTAAGTGATAACCGACATAGTCTGGCACCTTGTCGAAGTCAGCCAGCCGCGATATCTCCTCCCAGAGGCTGATCATGATATTCTCATATTTTTGGAGACGGGCTGGACTGCAGTCCCCTTTGCCTTCTAGTACGCACGTCCGCAGTGCCAGGCATTGGAAATCGTGGGAGTCCAGGAAACCATTGTTGTCAATATCTGAAATGTGGGTTTGAAGATTATTAATGTATAATTAAAATATTATAACTTACAATGACATACTTTTCCTACGATACAAACACATCGACATATACAAAACCTGTCAAATGAATCGGAACCTTATAAATAATGTTCTTAGGTATAATTTGTAATATTTATTCATCTGATATTATATATATTTTTTATAAATTAAACATTTAAAAGAAGTAAGTACTTTCCTGCAAAGAAAATTAAGAAGAGATTTTAACTACATATTTTGTTTCGTTCTGGAAAGCAAGTGTTTGCCACCCCTAATTACTAATACCCTAAATAAATATTCAAAGCAGACATCCCTTAAAGTTATAATTACCAGTTTTAAAGTTCACGTTATATTTGTAACTGGTCGATATAATGAAGAAAACCTTTCAAAGAATGTAGTACTTTGCGTTGGTGTGTGTCAATTGTTGAGCATTTTATTCAAATGCTCGCATTTCTCAGCTAGACATAACAATTAACTGTTAATTGTTTGGCAAGAGCATAGAATAAAGTAATTAAATCTGTGTTTTTGTTAATGTAATTAGTTAACAATCTTCCTTAAGTCGTCGCCAACTGATTTTAGTAGCGACAGCTGTCTATAATGAGGTTGCGAATATTTTAAAAATAACCAATAGGTAGCTATAAATATAAAGTACAGTGCCCGACAATAGCCGCGATAGATCGGGAGTTCGATTCTTGATCATGCACCAAAAATAATTTTATAAAGACAGGACCAGACTTCCTTTGACCTTTTTCGAAATAATGATCTATTACCTACATACGACTTCACCACTCATTACATATTTAAGGACAATTGTTAATTGTTCATTAAGATGACTCTCTTTATGACAGTTAATTGTTGTCAATTACATGTATGGTTTTCGAAGTACCTTATGTACTCAATATAAATAAAACACTGTAACGGTTTAAAACGCGATATATTAAATGTGTACTACTCGCATAAACTATAGACAGTATTTACCTTATGTACTGATCGTATAAAAGGCATGTGACTTGTAGCTAACTTCTTTGTATGATGTAGACATAATATAGTGAAAAGGGGTTTACGAAATTTTTACCTCTAAAGAGATGAAAAAGGGGGTAAGCTCGTTTAAAAAGGCTTTCAAACATTCCATAGCGACAATGACACTATCCCATTTCTGTGTCACAATGATTAATTTGTCCGCTCGTCTGGCATTGTACACAATAACCTATCTACGTATGCCAAAATCTATCGAATTTTTATCTCTTTAATTAATCTTCGAATCAATTTGATCTCAAGTCAATTACAAACGTAAGATACGGCAGATTTTATGAACGTAATAAAATCACACAATTTTATAAAGAAATGCTTATAATAATAGTTTTGAATATCAACTCTATATTATAATGAATTACAAAACGACATGGTCTGATTCGCTAGACCAAAAAAAATTCTCTATCTGTGGATTTCTCTAAATTCACGTGTTTTTTTTTTTTTTTTATGATAGTAAACGACAGAACGACAGAGTGTGGGATTCAAAATTAAGGGAAAAATATATGGACGAAATCACAGAAAATAATATCAAAGAACTAAAGATGGAACAAATAATAGAATAATGCAAGCAAACCGGATGGTTTTAAGGGGCCCCAGTGAGAATTATTTAACCCAAAATCCTCTGCAAGGAGGACATTCGGAAATGGGTAAAATAGTCAGCTGTGTGTGAACTGATCACCCGTCAGCGTTCTGTCGGTGTCTCAAATACAAAATAATAATAATAACTCACTTTATTTAACTTTAAAATGCGCCAGCCATATATCACACTATGTGGGTTTTGGACATTCTGAATTCCAGAACAGTTACACATGGATAATGTATTTGCAAATGCAAATAAAATATCACCATTAAGTACGCAAAGACATATTACAAAGATCGTTATACTTGACGAATAAAAAGAGTGGCGGCAAATATCTTGCGATTTTATCTCGATAGTTCAGCGCACTTAATTTGAGAATAGTAAAAGTAAGTCTAGAGTCTTTTGTTTTGAAATTATTATATTACATTCGGTAATTACATATATTTTTCTTCCTTAGAGTAGGCATTTTTAATTACATATATACCTGCCGTTACTTTTAGATATACCTCTATTATACATTTAGAGGAAGCGAATTATTTAATGGTATTAGCATTTGAGCGTGTTGTAATTGCAAAATAAAAATAACCCCTTTATAATTGTTCACGAAGATTTATAACCCCGTCCCGTGTCGATGTGTGCCAATTTCGTGCCGATAAAGATTCAATGCCAATGTGAGGTTTACTAGATGTCAGATCAACTGAAAATACTTTTTACCGACACGTATCGTTAATTAGGTTTAGTGGCTGAGACAGATAGATCAAGGCCATCCCGGATCAAACGACATCTTATTCGATTTCCTTCATGGACTTACGAGACTAGTAAAAAGGTGTTTTATATATTATGGAACAGTTAATAAACGTTTTCTGAAGTATCATAGCAGTAAAAACAGATCAGAGAGTAAAAAAGATATATTTTACGTTACAAAGAACGAAGAATAACTTTCTTGATGTATCTCAAATAATATACCATTTAAGACCACATTCTCCATGACCATTATTGCTGTAAAGCATCCGAAACATAGATAATATGCTGTTAACTAATGTAGTTAAATGGTAAAACCGATAAAAAGTACTTAATTTCAAATATATCACTAGCGTAAACTACAGATATCTACAACTCGATGTAACATGGAAGCGCGTTACTTAGACTTAGTCTTAATTATTAATTAAGCTTAATTTTATAAAGTTCTTAAAAATAATGAACGTCAAATGACACATTTACTTTGGGTTGACTCTACGAGAAAGGTTTTGAAGGTAAATGCTACCACGAGCCGTAGCTCGTGCTACGAGTTTCAAGAACTTATTCTGCTATACCTTCAAAGAACATTTTAAAATATTTTGAATTACACCTGTAAGTATACTTTCAGCTTTAAGTTTTTAAATCCTATTAGCATTTAATTTCTGTTTTATCATGATGCAACACAATGCAAATTATTTCCCTAATCTAAATCTGATCTTCAGTTGTAAAATGTTGCACTGATTTATAGATCAATTAATAACGCATGCTTGTCATAGAATCAATTAACATAGCTGTCATTACTGATGATAATCAGTGATGAATAAAATTCGGTGCATGTTTAGTATTTTAATCTTAGAACAAAGCATTTTTAGACCTGGATAATTCAAATTATGTTAGGAATATTGTTTTGTTCCTATGCTAAGGGACAGATAAAAAATAATTTGGTTTAACGACATCGAATATTTAAAATATATTGTTTTATGTTACGTTGTTTAAAATAGAAGCATATCTATATTAAAAATAACAGATAAAGAATTCAGTTTTTATTAAAGCTATCTTTCCTTTTATAATTAGAAAAAAATATGTTTAGCTACAAAAAATAAAACCTTTAATACTTACTTGTTAGGTATCTATTTGTGAATTTTATTTTCAATTAAGTACTTATCTCTTTAATTTTTTAATAATTAACGCTGTGAACTGGCGTGTTATAATTTTAATTTTTAACATAAAATCTCTTACCGTAAAGATACCTCACGACAAAAGCGACTCTATTGTCCCAGGAATACGCCATTGTTTCCAATTAAATCTAACAGATGCGATCTAATGCACTAAGACCGATCGGTCGCGCCTTTTGAACTAAACTGAGTATCAGAATCGTGGCCCGTCACAAAACAGTCAACTAAATATATCTGCATCACAGCGACAGATTGTTAAAAACAGTTGGTGATACAAAAACGCTCGTAAAAACATCTTAGACAATAAACTTAAACTTCACTATTATGTTTAAATATATATAAGGAATCTAGATGAAATTGTTATGATGTTCTGCTTTACATAACGAAATAATTATGACGTAGCGTTTGTAAAATGATAAGTCACAAAAATGTTGGTAACTACCACGTTTCTAATACGAATGTTGTTTGTGAGAATTTTAACTTTATCCTCCTACTACTACTACTACTATTTTTCGCGGACTGTAAACCAAGGAAAAGACATCTAAAAACGCCTCTTAATTTACAGATAGTCTGCGTACCAGCTTGTATTTAAAATGTCCAAACTACAATAATAGTTATCGCAGTGGCTATCGGCTCAATTTTATTTTGTATGCCAGTACAGGTGCTTCAGCAGGAATGATTAGTATCTCCAATTTATATTAGAGACTGAATCACAATCTGATGACTATCTCGTGCCTCAATTTGCGAAATCTATCATTCTATGCGTGTACCTAAATGGCATGTAATAGTTATTGAATTTAAAATTTTATATCGAATTTCCCTATTGTGTCATAAGGTTTATCTATATTCATATTATATAATGTCTACATACTTATTACTACTTTTTAATTATATTCTTTGAAAACCTTTATATTTTTTACATGTTATTGCACATGAAGGCACTATATAATTTTTAAAAATCGAAAATAAATTGAAATGTTTTTGAGTCAGTAGCACAATTGGTAGAGCAACAGCACGGAACTCTGACGATGCCGGTTCAAGTCCTGCCCGAGTCGAAAAATTTTTCAATTCATTTTCGATTTTTAAATTATATTGTTTCTGAAATATAAAATTATTCCATTGAGGGAAATTTCCCTATATATTTAGCACTGCTTTTTTGGAAAGTGGCATATTGGACGATTGTGCCGCAGTGATTTATACTTTTTTTTTTGAACAATAATTTTTTCGTAAATACTTGCTCTAAATAAATACAAAAAATAAAAGATAAATATCTCGTACCATCATTTGCTCTAAAACGCTTTGCTCCAATTGGGGAGGCTGTATATACTTTGCGCAGTCCCATAAAATCTAATAATATATATTTTTATATTATAAAAAATTACAAATATTATTTAGATATAATGGAATATTTAAAGATGACGGATTGACATATGTCATGTCAGGTGCATGCTGTAAATTATCAAAGTCAATTGTCAAAAGGATTAAGGAAATGCAAATATAAGCGTTTTACGCTAATAAATAAAGAAATGGAAAAGCTACATAATAACACACCTTTTTTATCCTAAGAATAAACGATTAAGGGTTTATTGCCACAATGAAGAGTAAATCTTGTATAGTTCTGCTTTTTGTACTATTCGGTAAGTCATTAGATTTTTATTTTAAATTTTTTTAACGCTCGAATACTTGATGATTTGCTCGTGTAAGCCGTTTATTAATATGCAAAGCGTATAAGATATTACGTTATAATAAACTTCATTGAACTTATTTGAAAAGCAAGTCCTATTTTAACGGACTTACACTATAGGGGATTTAGAAAGATGACTGACATTTTTATACAGAAGAGCAATATCAACATTTCTTAATTGTAACATAATGTATTTATAATCTTTCAGGTGCATCAATTACACTGCAATATGATATGGATGAAGAAGTTGCTATAGACGTACCTAGGGATGAAGACATGGAAATGGAAACTGTGGATGATTCAGAGTCTCTACTCTCAAATGTTGTATCGGATATGAACCGCACCTTGTCAAATTTGTACTTTCAGGTTACATCAAGCAATGTCACAGTTGAAAATAAAACACAAGCACTCAATGAGACAAAGAAGCTTGTGAAATGTAATGATATTGTTTATGAAAGTGAAGATGTTGAACCTATAGTTGAAATTGTCAATGGCAGTTCTTTATCAAAGTTGTTACAAGTTAAACCAGATATATCTGGTCGAGATGTAGATGCTGATTGTGTTTTAGTTTTATTTTACGCTAGGGCATGCCCATTTAGTGCACATGCTGCTCCACATTTTAATGCACTTGCTAGATCTTATCCTAATATTAAAATGGTGGCATTAGATGCTCTTAGACATCATGGTATAAATGCACAATATGGGATAGTTGGTGTACCAACCTTGAAAATGTTTCACAATGGTCGACCAGTGGGTAAATTCAATGGGACAGAATATAATATACATCTGTTTAGTAAGTTTGTTAATGCTATAACAGGACAGACTCCACAAGGGCTTTTAGTTATGTCAAAGGATTTCCAAGGTCCAGTTTCAAGCGCTGTTGAGAAAGAAACAGATTATTTTTTGATATTATCTTGGTTGTTTATTGTTGTATGCTCAATATATTATTTCATGGAATCAAAATGGTGGACAATGATTGTTGAAATGGTGCAAAATAACTGGAGAGAGTCTGTCGCTCAACATGAGCATAATGATTAGTTTTAAGTTAAAACGAATAAATGGTGATTGTTGTTTTTTACTTTGTGGATCTAAATAATATTCTAATTTACGATATCATTTTCTTTAGAAAGGATTGAAGTACATAAGATATTATTTTATCATTATATTTTTTACAAGTTAACATGTTCATCAGAAAAGATATAAATAGTATAATTCTTCAAAAGTACTACATATATAATAAATCAAATAAATACGATGCATTTAAGCTTAAATATTACTGCAACTCTGCAGGCATTTTTGTGCCATTTAGGGCCCCTAGTATATTGTTTGCTGTCAATTCACTCATGGTAGCTCTGGCTTCAATTGCAGCACTTCCTATATGAGGTAGAATGACGCAATTTTTTAGTTTAAACAGTGGACTATCTAACGGCAAAGGTTCGGGAGTTGTGACATCCAAACCCGCTGCTCTTATGGTACCATTCTGTAATGCTTCAATCAATGCCTCTTGATCCACAGCGCCACCTCTGCTGGTATTGACAAAAATAGCAGTACGTTTCATTTTCTCAAATGCACTCTTGTTAAACATTTCTTTAGTATCTGGTGTTAATGCAGCACAGCATATGACAAAGTCACTTTTCATTAGCAATTCATCAAAGCTTACTTTGACAGCACCAATTTCCTTAGCCTCTGGTCTCTCACTACGATTGAAATATAGAATTTGGGAAGTATTGAAAGCCTTGACACGTTTTGCCACTGCCTGACCGATCCTGCCAAATCCAACTACACCCACTATTGCACCCGCTAAGCCTGGACCTGTCATCCATGTTGGTGCCCAGGAGACCCAACCTCCAGTTCTCGCTTCATGTATAGCTTCGGGAAGGCGTCTTGAAGTTGATAGTAGCAGTGCCAACTGTTAATTTAAAGATTGTCCTATTGCATTAACTAAATAAGTCAGAATTGATGTTATTTATTTTAAAAGGAAATAGGTTTAGTAACTACTTTTTTGCAAGAAGTAATTACTTTTTTGTTATTTCTCATTACTTGGAGATCTTGAAATTTTAGTTTAACAATTTGAAGAAGAATAAATGTTTACTTGTAAGCTGTAATATATAATTCTTCTTAACAGTAATAATTAAGTTACAACTGGATTTTAAATGAATTTATATAGATAGACAAGTAAAAATAATATCCACATACTGAGATCTATTTCTTAAAGATCTTAAACCCAAAATCTTTAGGCGGACTATTTATGATTTTATATATATATATCTGTCACATACTAACCGTAAGTTCAGCAGTCGCATCTGTCAGAACATCAGGAGTGTATCCAATTTTAACACCCCTTTTCTTGCACTCTGCTACATCTATGTGGTCATATCCAACTGAGATAGTAGCAACAACCTTCAAGCCAGGCCCTGCAGCATCTAGCAATTCAGCATCAATCTTCTCAGTAAGTGAACAGTATATCCCATTCACACCAGATACTGATTTTATTAAGTCTGTCCTGGGAATAGGAAGTGGAGCTTTCCATATGTTTACTTCACATCTGTAAGAACATTTATTATAGAGTTATATTGCAAAGTAACTACCTATCTCAATGGGTTCTTAAGTTACCTAACAATATTGTTAATAGAAGGGAAAAACCTTGGTTTGAATCCTGGAAAAACAATAAATTGTTTTAGTGGAGCAGGGCACTAAAGCTACACTGATCAACATAAAAATTTTATTACAACCAAGTAACTTAAATACAGTTTGTAGTTTACGCATAATCTATAAATATAAATAAAATACTAGCGCGTTTTTCAAATCAATAAAGTGTTTTGTTTAAAAGTAAGTAGCTTGTGGATATGGTTGCCCCATGCTCCACAGGGAGTAGGATTTCCCTTTTTTTAATACTCCAAAATTTTCAAAAGTAGAGGCACTTTTCTTGATATTGAAATTTAAGTACCACTTCTAACTACTTAATAATTTAAACTGAAACTTACTGTTTCTTCAAAAGTTCAACTCCACCTTCTGGCATATCAGAGCGAGTGATGAATACTTTATATTTTCCTGCATTAGCCATGTTTCTTACAAAATTCACGATACTTTTCCGTACTAAACTACGAGGAAGAAGCGCGAGGCTTTTATAAAGCATGAATCAATAATCGATTAACTATAACCTTGAATGTGTTAGGGCAAAAATTTCGGCGGCACCTCCTGTGGTGTCGTTTTCGCAGTTTCTGTTTTAAAAAAGGAGGGCTTTGCGAAGTATATTGCCAAATGTAGAGACAGTACAGTCCCGAGTATTACTTTGCCCTTGGTAGACTTGATAAATGACAAACCGCTCATATTAGTAACTTGATGTTTGGCGTATCTTATGTAATAGCTATGCTGTCACATTTCCCACTTATTATCAATTATTGTTTTGTTAATTTTAACCTTGAACTCAAATATTCAAAACTGGGTTTTCAAATTTATATCTTATTTAAAAAACTGAAAGTTGACGTTGACGTTTTGACGTTCGCGCAAATGTCTAATTGTCATTATAATGTCTCATACATTTCATAATATATATTATGAAATAAACAATGATATGTATGAGATATTTGGCGGTAAATTTGATATCTGCAATATTAAATTTTTAAATTAAAGTTAATAAAAAACGAGCTTGATTCATATAAATTAGTCATTTAATGATAAACTTTGTAAGTAATTTTTGTTTTTTCATTCATTCGATTAGAACGTTTAAATGTTTCAATACCTACGTCAATTAGTCCTCAAAATATAATATTTAAATTTGCACCTTTTTTAACAGTTTTAGTTTCTTCATAATGAGGTTTCTGGTATTCTATCGAAAATTTTGCGAATCGAAGAAATTCAGAGTATTTATAACACGACCTGACATGCCAGACATTGGAATTAAAATCTTAAGAGAGAAGTAAATATCAATCAAGCACTTGGCAGTCGCGTTATTTTGTCGATCTTTTATTTAAACTTAAAACTAAACTTTTATTGATTTCAACCAAATTTACAGTCAGTTTATAAATTAAGTTATAGCTTTTTACTTGTTTAAATTATAATCACAGTAGTACCATCTTCTCCCAGATGTGACTTAACAATATGGAAATCACCAATCCCAATACCCAGAAAAGATTTTCTGACTTCAATACGAGGTATGAACGCACTCTTCGTGACAATAAAAGAGAAGATAGACGGGGAAGTTCTAGACGCAGCGGGGCCTCAATTGAAAGTAGTGGCTACGATATCTGTAGGACATGACCATTTAGATGTAGCTGAATGTCGGAAAAGAGGGATTCGAGTTGCCAATACTCCTGAACTATTGACAGATGCTACTGCGGAATTGACGGTGAGTTACCTACACGACGATGAATGAGGATTTTCAAGTAGACTTTTGACTTTATAGTAGGTACTTTATATAGTATTTATTCCCAGAATTTACCTATCAAGTATAGTGGTTAAATCTGAAGTTAACATAGCATCTAGGAGGTACTTATTCTCTTCACCCAGTAATTTCTTTAAACGAGATCTTGGAAAACACGGTAACTATAAATAAATACTATTGATACATAAAAAACCTTTACAGTTAGCACTTCTACTATGTACATCACGACGTTTACCAGAAGCGTTGAATGCAGTGCGCGACGGTGGCTGGACTAAATGGTCTCTCACTTGGATGGTTGGCCCCGGGTTAGCAGATGCAACAGTCGGCATCGTCGGTTTCGGCAGAATTGGTCAAGCTGTTGCCAAACGAATAAAACCATTTCAGGTGGCTCGGATTCTCTATTCTAATAGAAGTGAACGACCGAACGATATTGGCGCTACTAGAGTCACTTTTGACGAACTATTAAAAGAGAGTGACTTCGTCATATGCTGTATAGCTTTTACGCCAGATAGCAAGGAAATATTTAATAGAAGTGCCTTCGAAAAGATGAAGAAGACTGCTATTTTTATTAATACTAGCCGCGGTGGAACTGTTGATCAAGCGGCGTTGGTCGAAATATTAAAAGAGGGTAGAATAAGAGCAGCTGGCTTAGATGTAACGACACCTGAACCTCTGCCATTAGATAGTCCCTTGTTGAAGTTGAAGAATTGTGTCGTTCTGCCACATATTGGTAGTGCTACTATCGAAGCTACTAATGCTATTGCAGAAATGACAGCTAGAAATATATTAGCTGGTTTAACTGGTGATAGAATGCCGGGTGAATTAAAGTGAGGTAAATTAATGTCTAATGTCGATTGGTTTAGAATTATGTAGTTGGTTACTTAAATAACTTTTATATGACAATAATATTTATAACATTTTTGAAGATTGTATACATCTTGACACTACGGAACCCGTACATTTAAGTATACCAAACCGACTCTGTACTAAATTGGTAAGGTAAGTTTGATGGTTTGTATCTGTCGTGGCTTGTAGATACGAGTCTCGCTAAACTATAACTAACTGAAGTAATCGTTTTGTCCCAAATTGCATCCTTATTGGACTTTGACACCCGCAATCTTGACGTAAAAATGGCTACATAACAGTCAATGGTGGCCGCGAAAACCACAAAACATGTAATTAAGTTAACTGTGCTGTCAATTTTTAATTAAATTTATCAACTTCATAAATTCGTTATTTTAGCACAAACAAAATGTTTTATTTTCCCGATATTACGCAACGGAAGTCGTAATCATTAAGGCAATTAACCGCTCATATCATTTCAATTGGTTTAACGAACACCTTTCACGTAAATGAGGCGCAATTATTTTCGCCAAGTAACAAAATTAATTAGCTAATCTATTTTCTGTTGGAATTATAAGCGTAAGAATGCAGCGGCTTTCTTTGTATGAACGGGGAATGCACAAAAATCGCTCGGAAGACGCGAAATGGTAAAAAAACGCACCTACTTTCTATCTGTAATTAGAAGATTCTCAGTTCTCACGAAAGTGCAAAAATGTTTCAGAAGCGACAAGGCGACGCGCTAATGAAAAATCGACCGCGAAATTAGATACTAGATATTATAGTAACATCACACATACATAGGGTTGGCAACCAGAACATTTTTACATATCGACATTTTTGTCTCGTATCGACCCCCTTCAATACATTCACCTTCAAGTATACCGTCATCAGAAGAAACGACGTCTTAAAATTGTCGATCGTTGGTTTGATCGTTCTAGAGTTTAGTAACTTCGACTGCCGATCACAACGCTCCGAGTTCGAATCTCGGCCGGAAATTCGTCGTATATCGGAGAGTGCGTTGAGGAGATCGCGGTCCTGATTTTGATCGTTAATTTACTGGCAGCAGTAATTAAAGCACAGTCACAAGCAGAATTATCTTGAGTCCTGTCTTATATGAGATGGTAGTTGTACCTTACCACGTGCCATGGGACATTAATGGGTTAGGACGATAAAACAGAGCAGTAGAAATTAAAATACGAATATAAATTGAAAGAATTTCCAAAACGGGCAGGACTTGGACCGCGTCCACAAGGTTCCATGCTATTTATATAGTGCAATCATGTGCAACAACAGGTGAAAAATATTAAAATTTTCAAGAGTAGTAGAAGAAAAATTTGACAGCCCTGTTCGCACTAAAGAGAAAGCCCATATATAGTTAGTATTTGTTTGTGATGGACATTGTGAGCCAATTAAAATATATATCATGCAGCCTCGATTACCATCTCATTAGTGCAATACTAAATGCAATTTGTTAGACATCACGACGAGTTACGTTACTATGGTTACTTATTGTCTAGCGGGTAGACCAGACAATTGTTGCGGCGAGCTTGTATTTCATGCCTACGTTTTCTTAGATAAAATTTAATATAAATAAGTTTTTCTATTATAGTTATTCATATAGGGTATACAATTTTGTTGACGCAAAAGTGTAAATAATATTTTGGACAATGGTATTTATTGTATAAGTATTCGAGCACAAACATCGTAATAAACGCCTGATAAAAAAAGTTATTTCGCTCTTAGGAAAGACTGCTAAGTTTTTGTGCTCAGTAAAAATTAGGTTAGTCGTGTAAGTCATTGCTTCAAGAAATAATCATTTAATGTTGTGTACGGTAAACAATATCCTATAAAGAGAAATAAAAAAAAATACATAATTATAACGCGCCATATATATGTATGTCTCACAAAGCCTAAAAAAATGTTCAAGCCTGGTTTTTGACACGAACTATGAACAACACACCCCATGGTTAGATGACATAAGCTTGTTACTAGGAGGACTTAAAAGATTGTTCACACGTGTTGATTATCTGTTCCGTTTGAATTAACTCTAGTGTCGATAACGGTGAAACCTACCACGTTAAGTTAATATTATGGAAAACTTAAAGCTGATTACAAAAGGATATTATATACAAAATATTACATATCAGAGACCCAATTAAAAGTTTTACTTTTATCTTAATACCATGTCAAAATCTTTGGAAAACTACAAAAATTTACAAGCTAAAAAAGTAGACTATTTTTATATCCATTCAAAAAATTCGAAATACATTTTTGTGTCATGCCACTGATGAGCCCCGAAACTACGATTGCTATAAAGTTAAACCTTTAATCACATAGTCAAATAAAAAAGGCGATGAAAAGCTAAAAAATCCTTCTGGAAAAAATGAGTAATGATGGTTTTTGTTTGAGAGTAATCAACGATGCATGATTCCCTCGTGGCTTAGCCTTTAGAAGGTCTTTACCGCGAGTGAAGGTCAGGATCATTTCGAGAAAAGGAACTAAAGCGCGTTGTCAGAAAAGTGATGCAAATTTTTGGTTAGATTAAAAATTGACAGTACTCTAGTTCTAGTTTAATATTACAATGGTTTACAGATATCCATAGACCATACAGTATAGAGGTAGACTAAAGCTAAAACTTTACTTTTTGTATGGCCATAAATCACTAAGGGCTCAAGAGGAGATCTCAAAGAATGTGGAGATTATTCACACTTTCACCAGCCTGCATCTACATTATCATTAAGCATTATCATTATATCAATAATATGCCAAAGCCCCCTAAAGGGTGGAGAAGAGGGTACCTCCTTACGTTACGCTTCTTCAGAGTCCTGGAGATATACATAGGTGGCATATCGTGGTATATCGACACTGCCAGACTAAGTTATGGTTCAACTAAGAAGGTAGAAGATGTATTTAAGAGAAAGCTTATATTTATTCCCAGTTAGTTAATCACTTGGCATTCTCATCATTTCCTCGCTGGATGTGTGTCAACGTCTGCCGTGTTCCACATTCTTACAATTTGTGGCAAAAACTAGACATCTGCTAACTGTTTGCGTTCAATTATAGGTCTACTTTCTTTAAGAGATTTATAAATTATCATTTATTATAGAGTATAGTTGTATCATTTAACAGGGACCGGTCTACATCTATACTAATATATAAAGCTGAAGAGTTTGTTTGAACGCGCTAATCTCAGAAACTACGGGTTCGAATTGAAAAATTATTTTTGTGTTGGTTAGAGCATTTATCGAAGAAGCCCATAAAACATCGTCTTGTAACTAATAGGAGCGAAGATACAGCGGGAAATGTGACGAAAATTGAGAAAATTATTAATTATTATGGGTTTCCGAACGTACGCTGCAAAAGCGGTTCGAGATACCCAAAAAATATGTATCAGATAATGATTTCTCTTTAAATGATCTAAAAAAAGGCCCCGACGTTATATGTCTATCTTTTAAGATTATCTTGCAAGAACGACGGGAAGGGACGCGACCGACGTCTTATAAAATAACTATTCTACGCGGACGAAGTCGCAAGCATACTAACTAGTGTGTAAAAAAAATACAATTAAAGTTTAGGTACTTTATAACATTCTAAAATAATTTCACTAAAGACTTTATCTATCAAAATGTCCCTTCAATCCTATATCTGTATTTGATCGTAGATTCCTAAATTATGGTAGAAAAAAATAATTAAAGCTCAATACTATAGCAACAATGTAGACGAAATTACACGGCCCAATATCGATGCTACACAATAATTTAATAAAAGTTTTAAACAATTAAGTAATTAATTTGACAGACAACGAGATTAGTACCATATAAAATATCAATTATAATAATCGAATGAAGTAACAGCTTTACCGGAAACCGTCTGATTTTGGAGCGAAACGATGATGTAACCAGTCGCCATCTGCATAATAATTAGGGTTGCCAGTTTTCTGAGTACACCATACGCTACAGTTGCGTATAAAATTCAATTATCAAATGCCAATAGTATGTTAAATATACTATTATCATCATACATATTTGAAATGTATTTTTTTAACATACTGTTCTTCAAGTACAATTTCATATTTAATCTATGTGATCGCAATCTCAAAACGTTAGTTACCAACGCATTTGGCCTTTGTGAAAAAGCAAGTTTCGGGCTTTTATCGGTTGTTGTAAAAATAAAAACTTTAGTATTTAAAAATATCAAAACCCTACCGAACAACAATAGGTACGATTCACTCTGCACACAATAATTATTGCCAGCTTTATATCGGTTTAAATTACGCGTGTATTACTTGTAATACTACATGTTTCTGTCTGTTTATATAGTGTTGCCACTAAGAATAAGTAAATGACGCGAAAATAACAGAATCTAAAATACATATATATTATATACTAATATATATAATTCTCCTGTCACAGTGTTCGTTACCGTACTCCTCCGAAACGGTTTTTTATCACGAACCCCTATTTTAGTAAAATATTTAATATGAAAAAATTTTGCGGATCAGTAGATATGTTTGTTAAAATCACAAATTTGTCAAATATTCATAGCAACTCTCCACTATTGAGAAATAACATATTATATAATGTATAATTTGTTGTTTATACTTAAAATTTATTAAAGTAAAAAGAAAAAAATAATTTAAATTATCTATAACAAGGTACGGGTAAGTACGACATTGTATAATTCATACCATATTTAATCGATCCTGGAACAGATTCTGATATTGTAATACAGTCAACGTAGACAGGATGTCCTGCAGACATGATATACATACACATTGAAATAAGTAATATATCACAAAGAAAATAAAAAGACGTTAAAAAGAAAAAAAAGATTAATAAAACTACCTGCCACAACTACACTATATTTGTATAACTTTTCATCAGTTTGTTTGTTTAGCTTATTAATATGAGGGGAAAAAAAAAAAAAAAAAAAAACCATAAGCAAGGAATTATAAACAGGAAAAATTTAAATCCCGTGATACCAATTGCGCGTACGCATTATTCCATGAAGTAAATATGTCATATGACTCGCTAAATGAATCCTAATTGGTAATTACTAATTCAAATTTAGAATACCATAAGAAAATTGGGATTTATATAAGTTAGACAAGGCGAAATAATAGTGTTGACTTCAAAATTAATGTTTATTACTTGTTACCTTTATAATTATAGAAATTTAAATAATTAAAGGGTTCTCAGGGTACAATATTTACAATATACATATAAAAATAATCATATTTGATTTTAAAATTTAAATAACATAGTTTTGACTTCCTCGTCTTATGACTCTTGCGGTAGGAATGTTTAACTAATAAAGAATGCGCCTGAGTCCGTTAATTTGTTACAATAAGTTTATAAAAATTTTTATATAAAAATGACATTGTCGTCTGAAAAATCTTGCCATTAGGCATATTTTAATATTTGTAGACATAGACCGTGGACCAAAAAGCCGTTAAGAGACCTTAATACCCGTTTTGATTGAAGTCTGTGTACTCATCGCATCTTGTTTAGATGTTATATAACAGTGGTATTTCACCTTCAATCAAGTGAATCACATGCTTGTCTGTTCTATAAAAAAATCTATATTGTTATTAATTTCCACTTATCTCAATTAGAGATTCCCACCCATAAAAAGCGCACTCGTAACTTGTATTGTGCCGGCGAAAGCGCTTACATCACTAGTTCACACATTACGTTTTACGATATCTGGCTACGTTTTGATCTTGTTGTTATTATGTTTAATCACTGCTTACACATAATTAGAGTTTCACAGCATTTTGAAAGCCTTATAAGCATCAAGATGAGGCAGTGTAGGCAAGCAACGAGAACTTTCTCATTAAATAAAACTCTTTATTATTGTTTATCAAATTCTGCGCAAACGCAATCGTACGCTTACCTTTCTGATGCTTTTCGAAGATTTAAACTGAAACTTCATATTTTAACCATCTTTCGTACAAAGCAATGCTGTAGGCTGAAGATTGTCCTTAAAGCTAAGCATCACCGCACGACGACCTCCGTATTAGAAGGCCATGAAAACGGCGATCAATCAAGATTTAACCTGGATCAAATATTATTTTTTATTCACTTGTCCTTGTTGTACTAATGTGTGTAATCTACTTACCCATGTGCTGTAAAACTGTGGTGATATTGTTATCTTGTCGTGATGGATACCATCACACATATGGCTATATGGTTAATAAGTTCTAACTTAAATATTATAAAGCAAATGCTTATATGTGCTGCATTTATCATCATGATCGTATTTAGCCAGGGTGACCCCAATCGCTATAATATTTTTTTGTTTATGATGGGTAAAATAAACTAGGATTTTCTAATCACCATCAGTTATTGGCAATTTAAGTGATCATTATCGATTAGTTTGTACATATGAATAAGGGTAGCTACATAGGTCCAAACCAGTTAGAAGAATACGATCTCCCCCTTTCTTGACCACTATATGACGATCTCTTGGACAAGACTGAGAAAGAAGGTAAGTCCATACTTGACGGTGCAAACACGGCTCAGCTGTCTTTCACATAACAGTTACAAGAAATATAGTAAAGCATCGCGTTTAATGGCCCCGACAAGAAAACCAAGTAAACTATAAGTCTAGTAACATGAATTTTTAATTGAGATGAGATTCATTTTGACGCGTCTTCTAGTGAAAGTAAGTGAAGTTGAAATATTGAAAGACATCGTTATTGCTTGTAATGTTTTATTAAGTTTTACGTAATATTAGTCAATTTGGAAAGTCTAGCTCAAGTTCGGTCGTTAATCCTATTTGGTTGGGTATAACCCGTTAAACAAATTTTCAAACATTATAACTATAATACTATTCGTCTCTCAAATTGAAAATGTTAAATATTTTTGCTCTCAAATGTTGTTTAGAAACATAAATTTGAATTCGTTTATTTCCTTCCGAGTTTTGTTCGCTGACTTTCAGAGTGGTTAGTATTGGTTTATCAAACCGTTAACCAGTAATATATACCAGTAACAATTATAAAAACAAAGTCAACAAACAAGCGTGGAAGCGACCATATTTAATAATAATATTTAATTAATAACTAATAAAGTCTATAGAGGGTATCTATAACTTAAATACGGACTATTTTAATAACAATGTCAGGAGTAAATGTTTCAATTATTGCATACCTTCTAAAATAATAGAACGATTTTGCATTCTTGCGGTTTTATTAAGGTCAATGTGGTTGATTGGTAATTGAATGCACTCGCTTATTGCAACCTAAGTATGCAAATAATAGTTTGATTATTTAACTTTTTTTCGTGTAACATGGGTCAATGTAAAAATATTAGTATTTATATAAAAACTATAAGTAAAAAAAATAGCAGAAAAAGCTAAATAAATAAATTTAAAATAATATAGTTATCTCAATGACTCACATACACACAAGAATATGGTTTTCTTACTTTTGGTTCAGTTGTGCCAACATTAGAAAAACAAGTCACAGTGTCGTGATTCGTGACTGATGTGGCACTGTGCAATCGAGAACAATATCGTCTGTGGCGAATTCGTGATAGGCCATACGCGGCAGGAAATGAGCCGTATTCTTGTACCCAGCGTTTACTTTAATTCAATTGAATTGAACACATCTCAAAATATTATACTATCACTATAGTATATTTTATGCTTTCTTATAAACAATATTTGGTATTAGAGTAATAAATGTCACTTTAATTTTGTAAGACTCTTGAAAATAATTTTAAGACATAATTATCCCAGTTGCAGTAAAAAGACGTACTTATTTGGTATAATTTTGAATTGAAAAATTTTGCTATAAGTTGTGCTATTAGGTATAACAATAAATCAATTAGTTACGTGTATTTTCATTTAAATAACACACGGAACTAGGAGAGCCTAATTAAACACATCACCGCATTTAACTGTTAATCCTTAACTTTCAATTTAATTCACGCTCGTCGTATACAGTGCATGACGCATCAATCAATTTTTTCTTTATCTGTGAGACAAAGATTGCAGAATAAGACTGAATCGTACGCAACTTGGGTATATGCTATGGAATGCTTAGCGAGTCGCAAGTCGCAACTGCTTAGCAATGCGTCACTCGTCCACAGTTGACTTTTAGCGCGCAGCCACGACGGGCGCGCTGTCAAAACATGTTTTAATTCGATTCGAATTTCGAATTTGATGTTCAAAAACAACGGACGAATATCCGGTTTTTCATTAAACTTTTTTTTTATTTTGTGACAGTGCTGTGCTTTTTGTGATTCGGAACGCATTGGAGAGCTGAGTTTTCACTTTTCACTTACGAGTAGGCGATTGTAAGTGACAATTTATAAATTTGTTCTCGTTTTCTAATATGTAATATTAGGAATATTTTATAATGTTTATGTAATGTTAAAGTTTTCTCACGTAAACAAGTTGTTGATGAACTATTAATTATCATACGCGTCTGTTTGGCATAATAAATAAAAGGAGATTTATTTTACCAAAATATCTATATCATTTATATATATTTTTATCTTAAAAATTTTTGTTTACGTATATTTTGCTTACTATCAAGCATACTCCAATAATATATTTAAACAAAATCTAATTTATAACGCACTATTTCCTCTGTACCTGCTCTGTTACTTCTTTAGATTATACTGAGTTCGAATGTTAATTAGTTTCAGACTTTAATATTGACTATAGAAGCTTTGCATTTATTTTTTTAGCTGAGTATTCAAGATTTATAAGAAGAATATTTATTTTATTACATATAAGTAGGGGTTATAATTTTTATTAAATATGAACAGTTTATAATAAGTACACTAAAATAGTGCATTTTGTAGTGCATATCATTGATATATTTTTATTTAAAACTTTTATTTGAATATGGATGCATTTATAACGGCCGATGAGAAGAGCTAGACAATCCTTGCGCTTCTAAAATAACGCGTGACATCTTTGAGTTGTAATTTATATAGGTACATACCTACCTACAATTATGTGATTTATCTAAAGCGGCGATCTTATATCCCAATTTGTTGTTTTCTTTTATAGCAACCTAATAACAAAAAAATATTACGCATTAGCGTGGTATAATATTTTTAATTGCATTCGTTTATTTTGTAGTAAAATTTATATATATTTTACCGTTACGAAATATTGGCTATATAATATTAACTAAGGTGTAGAATATAACAAAGTATGTAGGTACATGTTACTTTTTCAAGGTTTGTTTCATAAAAGTAAGGTGTGTACAGGGTTTTTTGAGATAAAGTTGGACAAACAGCAGTTATCACAGATTAGAATTTCTTTATTTCCATATAGTGACATCACCTTCAGTTGATAATTCTGAAAACTGATACCGTTAATTTTTAAATCGTGTGCAGAGACATCAAACTGAAATACTCTGAATTGTTTTAAACCTGATAAAGTAATTAGAAATGATGATTATTAGCTTCACCTTTTAAAAAAAACATATAGATTTAAATAAAACACTTTAACGGTTTAAAACGCGATATAAGTATTTTAGTTAAACTTGTTTGAACATTATTTTTAACTACGGCCCGACGTTTCGGTTGCAGCCGGTGGGATGGTGACTTAGACTCCGTGACCAGTGCAGCAAAGCTAATTTTCAAACAAGTTTAACTAAAATATTACGCGTTTTAAACCGTTAAAGTGTTTTATTTAAACGTACAGACAGTATTTAAAACATATGGATATTTGATTTCATTACTAATTTTATTGCGATCTCCTCTTCCTTGCCCATGTAGGTCGCTGGGCTAACACATTGTGTACGTTTCGGCGAGTAGTTGCGTGAACTGAAACAGTCTATTGCTTCCCCGGTATTCGAACCCAGGACCTTAAGTTAACGCAATGCTAGGTAAGTTTAACCATATAGCCACGAAATCGATCTATTAAAAATTGCCACTTTATATTTATGAACAAATTTTTACTCTTCTAATTTTTTGTATTAAATTAACTAAACATCGCGTTTACCTAGTTTAACTCTATACTGGTAGTATTTACGTTACTCGGAAGTTATCTCGCCTGTTATTAAGGCCAAGTTCTTCGTTTGATTCCGTTTTTGCTTTCGTAAATTACAAACAATTCGCACGATGGGCAGTCGAAGGTCAAGCCATTTGCACCTCTCTCACTCTGGCTACTTTCAATATAAATAGTTTGATTCGAGTTCAAGGGCGATTCCTCAATTAAAAACCACTAACACTAATAAGTAAACGTGTTTTTAAGGAAAGTTTTTAGTTTCTAGATTCTAACGTTGAAAATAAATTTTAGCATATTTTTTATAGAGGGGGAAAGAGACAGGAGGCTACTGAGAGAACCCAACCATATAATTTATGCTGTCGACCTATTTTGGTTTTGGATGTTCGAGAATTCACAGATTGAAACCGAAACACCAGTGAAACTTTTCCACCTGTGGACGGCGGTTCGTGACCCACACGAAATTATACCTAAGCATTCATTTTTTTTACAGTCTTAATTGTCAAAATGTATTATTTCGATAAAAAATATTGTCATATGTCTGTCGTTGATAACCGTGTTAAGTGCCTCATAAAATTTACAACACAAATTGGCTATCGCTTCTTTGACCTGTAAAATAAATAATCTGATGGTACACGCCCTAGTTTTTTAATGATAAGTTTGTTTACTTCCTAAATAACTAGTTTCACGGTAGTAGTGCCGTACATATTTTATCTGTTAGCTGTGTCATACGCCAATTTATGGCATTATATTATATTATTAATAAAATACGAATCTATAATTTTGAAACGTTGGGAGCAATTCTTCAAGAGTGTACAACACTTGAAGAATTGTTCCCAACACGCTGAAGCGGACTCTAGTTTCATACGAAATTTAACATTAGTTATTACCTATTTGCAACTTATACTAGCGTAAATCAAAAAGATGCCCCGTACTTGCCTTACCTACATTTTAGTGCACTAAAAGTACATACAAGGAGTGACGGCGAGTTTATTGCCAGTTCTTCTCGTTAGTTCTATGCCCTTGACTTGAGTGGTAGTAAATGTAAAGATAGATTCTTTAGTTTTGTGACTTTTATAAGTGTACATAGTTACCTACATGAATATTTTTTTTTTACTTTGAGTTTGACTTAAATAAAGTAAAACTAAAAGTACAGTAAAAAAATATAACGTTCGTGCTATAGCATAGTTTATATTATTCGCGAGCAGTTATCTTTGTCCTAAAACAACTAGTTACGTAGATATAACGTTAGGTAACTGCCTTATAACGTAATAAACGGGATGTTACCTGTATGTCTTTGTTACGCTTTGTAAATACAACTCTCCCTAAACAATAAGTAGGGGTATTTGTTATCACTAACACAATACACAGTCTTTTAACTGATACGGCAAGACAGAACAAAAATAAACTTCAAACATTTTTCACTAGTACCGAATGAGAACATTTCATTATTATGATAGTGGTCAAACCAAATAGCTCAACTTTCCTGAGATTACCGCGTTCAAACAAAAAAACACACTTCTCAGCTTATTTAATTAATATTAATATAGATTAAGCAAAAAAATATTTTTTTTATTCAATTAGAAATGGTATATACCATTATGTATATCTCGCGGAGTCTGATATTTAAAATTCGAATCTTGTATCTCTTTTTAATTCCGCCATACTTAAGAATTATTTTTTTTATTTTTTTGTACACTTTATGCAGTTAGTACATGTAGTACTGAAAAATCATGAAGAAAGTTTTTCTTTTTCTAATAGTTTAATTTACCTGACGACATCAAGATTTCTAACAAAATATATTGTCGGCCAAAACTGGCCGTCGTTTGACTAACAAAACTTTATGCAATATCAAAACACGTGCTCAGGCTGTCAATGTTATGTTATTTAACGGTGACTTACGTTATCACCGACCGTTATTCACGGGGTGATGTAACGCCAGGAAGCGATAGTGGCACAACATATTCTTAAGAATAGGGGAAAAGAAAATGCGTTATTTAGCCTAGTCTTAATAATAATCATTAACATAGGATAATTCACTTTTATATAACACTAGCTTTGCCCGCGATATCGTCCTCGTTTATTAGATCCATTTTGTAGTGCAGAGAAACCTGGTTAATTGGGATCTCAAGGAACTAAGACATATGGACCAATTATTGAGGGTTTCCAATAATCCAGTTTTCCAATAATCCGATTAAGCATGTTTAAAATGCCAGTTGTCTCATTTACAAAGGCCGCTACGTTTGTGTGTAAACAAATGTGTTAAAACCTGATTAATTTGTCTCACTTATACAGATGATTGATCTACAGAGTCTCAATCATAGAGGTCAAAAAGTTCCATCAACAGGGGTAATGTAATGGAAACATCATTGCAACTATCAATAATAGAGGTTTCTCATTTATCCAGGTCCCACTTAACCAGGTTTCACTCTGTTTTTATAACTTTTAGTGACATTCAATCTCTTATGTGACTGGAACAATAAAAGTACTCATAGGTAGGTATGTCATACTCATTAAATAATAATATTTTTGTTGCGATCACCTTTTGACATCTCTCTCAACTGTAAAACAATTTTTATTCTTTGTTCGTAGTATGGTAAAAAGGGCTCTCGATTCACTTCTCCTTTCCAGCTTTCTTTTGACTGCGATTTAATTCAATAGAATTATATTCAGCGTTTGATATGATTTTTCTAATTTATAATCAAAGCAAAGAAGTACCTACTAATAGTTATTCGTTATCGAGTCGCATGCGCATCGCAATAATCACTAGACTAATGTATTTCGTTCCACCGTCATGACCTGAATGATTTGTGACCATATAGAAGCGTTGACGTATGTCTGATAACATTGTTGTCCGTATTCGGAGCAAAACGGCCATTTTTAATGTTTATCAAGTATTGAAAGGACCTAGAATAAATAGCATAGGAGACTAGGTTTACCCGAAAAAGGGGGGGGGAAAAAAAAAAATTTAAAAAAAGTTTAAAAAAAAAATCGGGTTTTAAACGGGGAAAGGTTTTTATTAAAGGGGAACTACTCGGAAACAAGACAGTTTTAAAGACAGGTTTTAACAATAAATACATAGGGCAATACTACGGACTCGTTGGTGCAATAGTAGAAATGTGTGGCATATAATAACGCCGAAGGAAGTCGTAGGTTCAATCCCCACTAGGTCTAAATATCTAATCTTATATTTTTTCTGAAACATGTTGGAAATCGTCTGGAAATCTGGACATGCATGTGTGATAGAAATATCGTCCCTCTGGCCACGAGCTCTATAATAAACAGATGAATAAGCCTTATTTAATCGTGTTTCGTTTTCAGTCTGTGGTTT